AATAAATTATTTTACAGCAACTTCACTTGCTGGACCCCACAGGGTCATAAAAAATCCTGTTGGTGTTCTTTGTTTTTTCTGTCATAAACACATAAATAACACTTGAAACTTCATGGCCTAGAGGACTGACCTCTGACCTCTCTTTCTGAGGCTCTGCGGGGGAAGTGTGCTTATGAGAGGTGAATAAATAAGAGGAGACAAAAGACAGAGACCAAGAGAAAGGCCGAGCGTACTCTGCTTGAGGCAAAGCATGTGCGAGTCAACAGCTGTGTGTGTGTGTGTGTGTGTGTGTGTGTTACCTGAGGCCAAGCCAGTGAGCGTCACCACCAGCCAACCAGACCAGGCATCATACAGGCTCTTTGTGAACTCCCATGCTGACTCCTTTTTCTTACTGTTAATCTGAACACACAAGGAAATAAAACAAATATGCTACAGATGTAAGAGTGTATATTATGTGTACTTAATAAATTATGCACATAGGTCAAAGGTTTATAACTACTCCCCAATGGTTGCTTCATTGAGACTGCTTGTTTCCTGTATGACAAGTAAGACCGAGTTATAGGAACGTTTGACAAAGTATTCAAATAGCACTGAAATCCTCAACTCCATCAAAACACTCTAAATGTATGGCAGCAAAACTGCCAATATTTGGATAAAAGTGGTGACAGAAAGGGGTGGATCAGTGACGGGGAGCTGCAGACAGACATCAGTTTATTGTGTGACCATTCATTCTGGTGCATCTATGACTTCTGTACATTTTGATTTCTGTAACTGAGCACAAACATTAATTCTTGGCCTCTGACTGTTGATGAAGACTCAGACATGTAGCTAAAAGCACCAAAACAAGTTAGTCGGTGGGGATTTATTTCCAACTCGAGTTCTACAATAAAAGTTAATCTTGGAAATTTGGAAACAGCTTTGATATTAACTGGTTTTCACTTAGATTTACTGTTGAAGTGATTTTTTTTCCTTTAGGTAGGTTGAGCTGTATTCATCCACTGTTAAGTCACTGAGGCTAAAACTGCAAACCCTAACCACCCAACACTTCCTTTGTGTGATCCAAACAAACTGTTGCTGCTGCAGGAAATGTGCAAGTAGTTGCTGAGATCAGCTAATTTCTATGTCATGGCTAAAGAGCTCGGCGTGCTTCAAACAAATCGCTTGCATGTTTTAACCATATAAAAACCCTCGTGTGGACAAATGTGAAATTGTTAATAGGCAAAATATCTGTTCATTCCTCACACAACATCTGGAGTTACAATGTATAGCTGAGCCCAACACTGTGAATATGGATGGAGGATGAAAACTATAAAGACACACAAAAAAAAGCTAAATTCAAGTGTGGCCAGTCAGGACAAGTATAAACCTTCTGCCTTCAGACATGGTCCAAAGACTTGTCGGACAAAAAAATTTTTTGCTTGAAGCACATGGAGACATTAAAGATGTAAGGTTTTATTTTCAGATGCCCTCTATGTCCTCACCTTCCTGTGTCTCTCACGGTCCTTGCACTTCTCACGGACCCAGTCGATGGTGTGGAAGTCGTCATAGGTCCCCACACCAGGGATGGGCTCCTCTAGGAAGTCCAACAGGTGAGTAGAGCTGCTGGCAGCCCCGCCCCCGTTAGACATGGCGTAGTTAGATCCTGAAGGCGAGGGGGACAAAGAAAGTAAGGCGTGTAAAAGTACATGAGGGTTTTTTTGCCTTATGTTCACTTTTTTGCCCCGTATTCAACATGAAACATTTAATATATAGTGTTCAGAACAATATCTTGGTGAGCCTTAAATCAAACACAATGACAGAGCATACAGAAAATAAACATGTCAGTGTTTGCCTTAGAATCAATGCTGTTAAAATGTTCTATACACATAAATCCACATCTCTGAGAGCCATTTTATCAGGGAGACCTGTCTAAACCCCGTCTGGCAAGTAATGAGCATCTAATGTGAAAACAAAAAAGAAAATCTTGAAGTTTGATATTTTGCTGCTTCCTAGCCTGTAACTGAAAAGCAAAGGGATCCATCACAGTGCCACCTGCTTCAGGCTACATCCTGTCAATAATCCAGCCCATAAGAAACACTGGCAGGACCTACCACACAGCAACCACTGAGATGGCTAGAATGAAGCCATCAGAAACACAGCAACACTGAGAAACCCCTGCTGTCCACCACCTCAGCTGGAACAGCAAACAGTAAGGGAGTTCAGGTTTATCTGCACTGCTGAAACATTTGGATGAGCAAACTATGCTGAACCACCTGGAGGAAATCCATCCAGCCATACTTTAAACAGTCACGCCTACACTGGAGCACTGGGGTGAAATAAGCACGGCAGATTCTCCCTGCTGAGAGATGGATGGATACACGCTATTACAAGGCCATCACTGACTATCAATAAAAGCTCTTTTGTACAAACCAGACTTCAAAAAAAATTTGGTAAGGATAAAAAAAAATGATATTTAATACCTTCACCTGATGCTTTGTTGCAGCCCAAAATCCCCCCCCCCCCCCACTTGAAAAATGTAACTACTTGCATGTCTGGAAGTCTGATTAGCACTGGTGTGGCTTTATCAGCCTATAGAATGCAAACCAATATGATACACGCCTGCAGGGCCAAGAACCATCTGCACTACAGTCAGTTCAGTATTAAATTCAACATGACTAAGATTAGTCACAACACATATACATGATTAAAACACACAAAAAATTACACAGCAAGCACTGTCCATTGCTCTTCAGAAGATGGTGCTGACATTATATAAACATTGTAGATCAGTCACTCACCTAACGCTTGAGTTACAAATGTCAATCATTACATCTGGTCTGTTCTGGCTGGATGCGCAGATTCAATAAGAGAAGGGACAGCAAAACGTGCTGGCTCATGCTAGCACACATAAAGTGAAGAGAAGCAGCCGAGTCCTGATTGTCTATGCCTCTTTTTACCTGGCTGCCATTTGGCTTTGTCGACTGAGGCAGCTGTAGGACAAGAAACTTTTGTACATGAAAATTAAAACAGTAACATTTTATAATATGCCTCTGGGTCAGTGTCTAATTTAAACATGGGTGTAAATGACTGTGGGGGTTAACATTACAACAGGGCAAAATACGACCCCACCAAATGAAACAAAAACAAGAGCTCATGAATTGCTGCTGGGACCGTTTGTGTTCCCTGACAAGGTAAATATGCATCCAGTCTTACAAATGTGACTGGAAGTATTCAAGTCAATGAAACTGTGGTACTGCTAAGTCCCAGTGAAATGGCAGTTAGAACATAGGCAGGGTAACATTTCAAGGGTATATCAAGAGATAAAACAGAAACTACAGCAGGGATAAAAAATAACAGCTAGGACATGCAAAAAAGGCCCGAGAAGTGACACCATGGCGGCCGTATTTCTGCTGGACTGGTAATTATCTTTTTTTCGAGGGAGATTCCTCTTTTGGCTACTTTCAAAATCAAGCTTCCAGGAACGCCAACCTTTAAGCATCTTAGATAAAAATGGGACTGCAATGCAAGTACAATCACTTTAGGACAGGGTAGTTTCTGCATTAGGTAATTATGTCTTTTTTGTTCAGACAAACAGCCAGGAAGATAAACCTCTTTGTGCGCATAACATCAAGACCATAAGGATGCTGTTTGAATTTTTTTTTTAACCTTTCATGTAGCCCGGCTGTGATCATTCATTCATCCATTCATTCATTCAGTGCCATGTGACCAGTCAGACGTCACTCAGGCATGCTGTTCAACTATCGAGCATCCTGTGATCATTTGGAAACAGAGGATGGAAGTGAGGGTAGAAAGCCCCCTCAGACAGAGTTGGACAGATTCCAAATATTTTCAGCTTCCTTTAGGAATACTGATAAAGTTGATGATGCTGAATGGCCTACATCCATTGGCTGAGACAGTGCCAAGTGAGGGTGACGCCACAGAAAACAGAAACCGAAGACAACTGCATACGACACATTGCCAGCATCATGCCTTGACAGAGTCAGCAGACAACTGATGCACTCGCATAAAAGCAAGGGTTTAGTTCCTACCCCAGGCTGTGCATTAGCACAGTGACGCTGCACTTCTATTCAGCCTGCTACAGGGCAAAAAGCCACGTCACTGCACACGTAGGCTTGCTGAGTGTCAGTAATACTTAACTAAATGAACAGCTTTTGGTGAGGCCTTTCTGTGGAACTATGATCAGCCAACTGCATCTTGGGAGGTTTCTGTGTCTAATGGGTGGAGACACACCAGGTTTGCTTCATTCAAGCAACCAGCCTTGAGTTCCCTATTTACTCTATTACTGTGAGGCAAATCAGGTGAGGGGGTTTAGTGGCAGCTGGCCGGGACACTGTGGGTCAGCAAAGTTTAGTAGGGTTAGTCTGCTCAGCCATCATGTGACCAGCACCACAAACTGATCCACACAGCCTGAAGGGCCTGTTGTGTGGATCAAGGCCAGCCTGATGACTAGAATGACGAATAAGTGGATCAAAATCCAAAAACCCTGAGGACTCAAAAGCTATATATAATACATACAGTATGTAAGTTGAGATGAGACCACAATGTTTAATGTGAATGACCTTAAAATGTCATAAATACTTAATTTATGTTTAGTACACAGACTATACAGTATGTCCACTTTCGCCACTTATTAAAGCAGGACATTAGCAAACAAATTTCTGTCTTGATTACAATTTCTGTTTGAACAAGACATGGAAAACTGCCAGAAGACAAATGCATAAAGCTGCTTTAATGCAAAAAAAGAAAGAACATAATGAGAAATATGGATGCACAATAAACTAAGGTCATCTACAGATTCAATAAACAATTCATTCACAAGCTGTTTAATGATTAAACACTGTACTAAGGAACAAGAAGAGAAAAACATAAAAGCCTAGGTGTAAGGACATCTGCAGGCTGAAGTCTTACAACGTGCACGTAGGCAACAGCAGATGAGTCCTAAACACACTAGGGCCTTTTTGTCTCTGCTCGATCACTGTAAAAATATAACAAGGCCCAAAGGTACCAACATCTGAGAGGAAAACTCCCTAACAGCCACACTGGAGAGACAAACAAGAATCCAGTGCAAGAACTCATTGGGGGCAATACATACATACATACATACATAAAAAGTGCCACAATATGACTACATGCCTTAACCCTGAGGACTTAATGCTGTGTGATGTGATGTGATGTGATGTGATGTAAGCCCGAGTCTGCTAACAGGTGCCCTCACCCTGCAGGAAGGATGTGAACTGGCTTTGACACCACAGAGTTTAGACCTAAAAGCATTCACATATGTGGCAGCCACAACCTGTGCATGTTTTTTCTGTGGGGACATTAAAATGGATGCCTATGATGTTCTGTTTAGTCACCACTGTTTATAGGCCCAAGCGCAAGCCTTCATACTGAATCAGCTCCTTTATCTCATTATCTCTGGCTGACGTGAGCACACACTGCTGGTTAACCATCAACAGAGAGGTGCATTACGAAAGCTGAACAGATAGCTTTTCAGAACATGGAGTGTTGTCATTAGTATTGACAGCTTATATTCCATACTAGCTCTCAGGCTCCTGTGCTTCACCAAAACCGAGGTGGCATCGCGCCTGGTTGCCATTCCATATCTTTATATACATGCCAGGAGAAGGACCTCCTCTGACGGGAGCACGGGAGAGAATCTGAGAGAGAGGGGGAGAAAACAGAAGGGGATGTGGCGTACCTCTATTAGGGATCTCCTGCAGGGGGATGGTGTCCCCTCCCCCGTCGTACGGTAAATAGGGATCGGCGGCCGCGTCCTCGTGGTCCATGTTGACAGCTGAGCTGAGCTGAGACGAGACGAAGCGAAGCTAGGCTAGGCTAGGCTAGGCTAGGCTTCACTACGCACTGCTCGTTGCTGTCGCTGCAATGTTTAGCAAAGGAAAACAAGTGGAGCTGCGCGCGTCTGTGCGCGTGCACGTGTATTTGAGTGCACATTCCTCTCCTCCTCCCTTTTCGCCCTCTCTCTACTGCAGCAGCTGACCGCCAATGCTGATGACGTCATCACGCACACACAACAGGCCGGTCGGTCATGCTCGTTTGCTGTGGGAGATCAGTGAAACCTGCCTGTCCAGAAAAGACCATGGAGCTGGGCCACAAGCGGAAGTGTGTGTTTTTTAAAATAAATTTTTAATCTTTTAAATTTTTTATTAATTAATAGACGATTTATTTAAATAGTAGATCTATGAGTAAGGTTAAATATGGAATACTCCATTTTAAGCAAGTGCAGGAGGATTAAAGGAAGGGGAATTAATTCAAGTTTTTTGGGTTTTTTTTTTAAGCATTAGCATTAAGTGCAACAGGATATGGGGCTTGTTGGTGTGCCACACTGTTTGGTGGTTAATAAAAAAAAATGCTGTTTGCAATCTGGCAACAGCCCTGATAATGGACTGAATTTTTCCAGCTAAAAATGCCAAAATAATTGCTAGTTCATCTCAAATATTAACGTTTCTGGCTTTTATCTGTCACATGGCAGGTGCTTTAAATGAATTCCTTTGGTTTTAAAACCAGGGGTACATCCCAATATCCCTTAATTGCATCCACGTTTCCCTCACGTGAGTTGAAACGAGTGAGGAAGGATGCGAGGAAGAGGCAAAAAAAAAAGTGAGGGGGGAGAAATCAAGGGAGCATGTTTATGTGACATGAGCCAAGATGGCTGACTGCCAACCTTGGCAAGAAGTTGGCAAAATTAGCCAGCAGTTGTTGATCTCAGCAAGTTTATAGTTAGGTTTACAGATGGGGTTGGTGGGTTATGACATTTTCAACAAAGTACTCAGCAGATTAGCCAATAATTGTTAGTTCTAGGGAGGAATGCACTGATGACACACAACTTCAGTTTTAAGGCTGATATGGCAGGTATCAACCAGATGTGAACAATTCACATTAGGTACAGTTTCTTTGTCATCCATCCATCACCTATACCGCTTATCCTGACGATGTTCACAGGGAGGCTGGAGCCATTTTCGTCAGTGTCATACTAAAATTGAATTCTTTCAGTCACAGCCTCTGCCCTGGCCTCATGTTACCTTACTATAGGTAAAGATTAAGCTCACTGGCAGTAAAATGATCCCAGCGATCTCAATGCAATGAGACAGACATATTAAATCTGCATGAGAAGGGAGAACAGGTATCAGATTGATAATTGTATATCTCCAGTTCCAGCCTTAAATGATAAAATGTTCCACAACAGTACTTTGCCAATTCAACTCTAAATCCCAAAGAATACTCACAAATGAAATGAAAGGAAGCTTTATGATTGCACAGACAAAAAAAATAATATGCCTATGGCAGCTACCTGGCAATTTGCCTTGTTATTTAGGTTATTTTTGAATAAACTGCACTGCAACTGCTGCCTTCCCTTAAATATACAAAGAGAATAGGACAAATTGAAAACAGTCTGGAGACTGTAAGGGAAACTGCAGCAAGACAGAAGAAGCAAAAATCATCCTCTCTCTTGTTCACTCTCCATATGGACATCTGAGATCATCTGGACGTCTCATGGCATCTGTGCCATAATGAAAGCAGAGAGTTTACTGACTCTAATGTAGAGGAACCATCCCAGCTGACCACCCTTGACACCACTGAGAACATAGGCAGATTATATGGGTAAAATCTACAAGTCATATGTTTTCCAAGGCACAGTGTATTTTCTAAGCTTGGTGTAATTATGTCTTGCAGTACTTTATGAAACAAAGTTAAGTACAGTTCTTCCACACATCTCGCAGTTCCCACACTTAAACAATGAGATCCTGCCATTTCTCACGCTCTCATTTTGTTACTGGCATTATAAAGAACAGTCTGTCACACCCGGACATCTGTGGCTCCCTTACCTTTCAGCAGGGCTCCTGTTGCTAGGCAATGGCAAAGGTGATGTCAGCCATAGTTTGCTACCTCCCTCCTCAACAAGTTCCAGTCAGGATGTCAAAACAGCCCAACCACAACATGAAGTTTGAAAAAGAAAAATCTCTTAAATCTCTGTAATCCAGAGAAAACAGACCAAATCCATTTCAGTTCAAGGACCAAAGCTTTCCAAAGCACTGCTCTGTTTCTCTCTTACTTCTTAACAAACAATACGTTTCTTCAAAAACCTCCACTGGGCTATGGAGCAAGCCAATGTCTTCCTCATACTGATGTCTTGACCAAGAGTAGGGCTTTACAAGTTTTTCTATGCACCCACCCCTCATGACTATGTAAAAACAGCACACGGAGGCAGGGAAGGGCAGCACACCAGCCTTAAGCAACAACATTAATCCAGAGATTTCCAGAAATACTAGCTCAACGACAGTAAGACAGTGAGTTACAACAGCTGACAGCCCAAGTGGTTCATGGGAAGGTCGGTGCATGTGTGACACAGGTAACACAGGTAGGTGGAGCCCAGGTAGATACAATATGACATACAGTGTAATTATTAAAAAGAAAGACTATATACAAACAGACCAAATAGCAGCATTAAATGTCTGTTAACCTTTGTAATGACCTGGCAAGACTTCTTCAATAACATATGTGACATTTATGTGTTATGTATCTGACTGCTGCTGACATTTCACTGAAGTCTGCCCTCTATGTGTGGAAGCAGTGACAGTATTAGTGTTGGTAGGTTAGGGTTACTCTGTCCTTTCTCTTTTGTCGACAACTGCCCAGAGGTCCAGTTTCAGAGTAAAAGAATAAGAGCCTAATCATCTGGACGTGACTGGACAAGTTGAAATGTAAACCAATCACTCTTGTATACAGTAATGATACATACAGTAAATAACAACACACCCTCTTCTACCTCTGTTTGTAAAGTGAGTTGGTAAAGAAAGAATAGACAATTCATACAGATATACTATCAGTTCCGCAGATGATAATTCCTGATGACTCCGATGAGCTCTTCATTTTCCGTCAAGCTTCAACAACATGTGAAAATTACCACTTGTCCAAAACTTAAGCTCATGACAAGATCCTTGAAAACATATGTCTGAATTCCTGTCTGGTCTGATATTAGTGCTACAGTAGCACAGCACACTAACCAACTACAATCTTAGCATGTAACATTAACGCTCTAACACCCTAATGTTGTCTTTAGGATGTAAAATAAGCTGTAAATAATAAAGCTAGACCAATAACTGGACCAGGCTGATATTATCTTATTGCAGACATGTTGTTACTGGGGTATGTCAGTTTCAAAAAAGGTAAATTTCTACAGAAAATACAAGCTAATTGTGGTCCAATACCAAGTTTACATATTCATATGGCTTGTCATTTAGAGAGTGAAAAGAGAAGTGCTCAATTACTTTAGAGAAAAAAGTACCAGCCCATTCAGTGTTACCAACATTGCATCTTTCTCTGTTTGTGAATAAAATAACCTTAGAAACAAGCTAATTTTAGACTGTGCCTTTTGAGTTGCATAGAAACTTACCCACAGAGTTTTTAGCTTTCATGTGCAAAATGCAACACTGGACACTATAATGAATGTTTTTTAGCTGAGCATTAGGTGTTCATTTTACCAGAAATATTGTTTTCTTGTGCCAAATATCAACCTCTATGCTCATTCTTAATTCAATAAGAGCAGGGATTTCTCATAATTCAAAGTAGCAAATTTCCTATGTAGAAGCAGTCTAATAAAATACATGCCATCCATATGTGGAAAGCCAAGCTGTGACGAAACAGCCCCCCGGCATGTTTTCTGTTTGATCAGCTGTAAGTCAGAGGCTTGAGAGGAATCCGAGAGGGAAGAACAAACAGAATGCAGGATCCAGCAGATCAAGATGTGGATGGGACACCAGATATACCACTGAGTGTGGCACTGAGCTGCTGAATGAATGAGAAAGCAGGTGACTGCTGTGGAATGGCTACGATGGCCATAGTAACATGGTACAGACCACATACAGCAGTCTAATTATGAATAAGGTAAGGATGATAAATTCTAACTCAGCAGAAAACACAATGCGTCATAGAGCTGACCACTGTGTCTCACGTATGCATGCATTTAGCCAAAAACTGACGTAATTTATGAACACATAAAACAGAGGCTCTGCTGCATCTCAGTAGTATTTAAAATAATAAAATCAGACTAGGATCCTTAGAAAGACCGACATATGGTTATAAAGCATTAATTGGTGTTTAACTGGACAATGCAAAGAGGGATTAATAATAATTTAACCAATTTATCAGTAAATAAATCTAATAATTTTGTATCAAGGATTTGTAAACAACTAAATAAAACTAAATTGTTGTTGACATTTTTTAATTAATTCAATAAGGCATCTGAATTCCCACAACACAGCATTTAAATGGGAAATTAAAAGGCATATTTAATTTTTAGCTTGCATTTTTATTTACAAGATGCTGTTCAGTCTATTTTTCTATTATTCTATATTATTTTGGGAGTAACAAAAATGTTGGATGTGTTGACATCAGCAGCAGGGTAACTCACAACCAGAGCAGCATTTCCCTGCTACGTCAAGGGGTCCAGACCTGAGACCAATCAAATTACTGGGCGAAGTATTTGGAGCCATACCATTCTCCCTACCTGGGGAGGCAGCATCCCCATCCAGCAGGTTGTCGTCCTCAGTGGTGTGGAAGTCCATGATGACGCCGGCTCCATCCAGCAGCTCCTCGTCGCTGCTGGCGCTGGCGATGCTGTTGTAGCTGTTCCTGCAGTAGCCTCTATGGTACAGCTGCTCCGACTCCATTTAGCAACACCCCAGTGCCCTGGATGATAAGTAGGGAGGAGGGGAGTGGTGGAGATATACACACCCTGTTGAGGAGGCTACAATACGAGTTAGAAGGAGATAGAAGGATGAGTAGAGTGGGTTGTTAACATGCATACTGACCCACAGGTAAATGGCAAAGGCAGAGGGGTACACAGTGAGGCCGTAATGGATGAAATTATACTTACTACAACAAACTCAACCAGGGGCTGGAGCTAAACCTCAGAGCAGGTTACAGCTCAGCACAAACAGGTTTATGGTGAACCTAAATAATACATGTATTATTTTATTTACCTATTATTTGCAGGTGTTATATTTTACAGAAAAAAGGCAACACAGACACATACACACATAAATGTGACTGAGAGATTAACACGACACAAGGACAGCCTCCCTGCAATGACCAAAGCTCCTGGGCCAAAGAGAGCAGAACGGCATCAACACAACAGTAGCTCTCAAACTACACCCCCTTGTGGAAAAAGCGGAAACTACACCTGACTCTGGAATCACAAAGGTACCGGTAAATCAGGCAGTGACAGATCTCACCTAAAATGATCCCCAGAGGCTGAGCACAATGTCAATGAAAGATGCCCTGAAAACATTTAGAGGATCATTATCCTGGAGCCGTGATGAGTCACAAAGTAATAAAAAGAGCAGGAGAATACCATTCACTGTGCTCTGATGATGTTTCCTGACTCATTCTCACTAATCCTTCACAGTCTGATAGGCAACTCCATATTCTTCCATGTCTCTGTGAAAAAACAGACCTGGGTCAAACAGATTTACTAGGTCCCTTCAGATCAACCTGGATGGATTCAATTTCCTACTTGAGCTTGTGTTTTTTTTTTTTTTTGTTTTGCTGCAGAAGCACTCACATCCTGTTAGATCTGTCACCAAATCAAACTTTTCAGCTTCTACTCAGGTTCAAACAGCTGTTGTTTTAATGATGTTCTTCTATGTGACAAGAAGAGTGAGAGCATGCTGATCTAATTTGATCTCCATACCTGGAAATGTATATGGCCAACATTTCTCATTCACAGCAAGCCAGCGCCAAGCCTTTCACTTTAGATGTGTGCTGTAGCAGAAGCCACTCACCTCTACCAAATAGGTTCTGACACATTGTTATGACAGTGAAACTATAGGCTGGCTAAGGACAAAAGCCTCTTTCTGTAAACATCAATAGTGAAAGTGAAGACCACTAATCCTCACTGGAACGAAACCCTAATGTGAGACAAAGAGGAAAGAGAAACGTTCCCCGCGCCAACAATCATTGATTCACACGACTTCCCTTTGAGCTTTATCAAATCAACATTGCCAAGAAATTCTATTTGGCTCATCTGCAGAGCCAATGTTGAGGAGGAGGGTTTTGAGGAGAACTCGCATGATATTATCATTTATTGTTCTTTGACCTCTAGATACAATCCAGAGTCATCATGACTTGAACACTTCTGCTGAGTCACAAAAACTTTCTTTTGGATTCCAACCAAGTTTCTTTCATTGTGAGATTTAAAGACAACAGTCGGGTTGCTGATTCAATCATCACTGCTAACCAGGTCAAATAAAGTGAGAATGACACACATGTGCAATTGTCCTTTCAGACAGACATACCTGTATCTGGCATGACCTGAGCTGTGCTGCTGAGCTTCTCAACAATGATCTGCTCTAATTAGATTTGACATCCTTCCTCTTTTGTCTCTGTGCCGGTGACATCTGGTCACTACTGCAGTACGTCTTCATGTTTCCCTGGTTCTTTATAACAGAAATCAAATTAGCACCAAGGAGCCTAGAGCTGTTGAGTATTGAGGAGCTACCCTACGAGTCAGATTTCATTTTGAGGATGAGAACACGAATATGAGAACAGGGAGGGGCGTGTGTGTGACGGTTGATAACAGCAGGAGAAAACAAAATGCCGCAGGGTCACTGATGCTACACAACTAGCTGAGCAGCGAGGGGCTTTATCTTCCTCAGGCTGGTGCCTGTGGAGGTGTTGCCCAGGCGACCAGTGCTTGGATGTGACTCAGCATTTTGCCCTCCCTCCAAACGATAGACTCACACCTCCTCCATAGACAGAGCCAAGTTGACACACATCCGTCAAAGGCCAGGTCGATATATATATATATACACACAACACTTTGCAGCCAAACATCCACTGGACAGGAGTGCCAACACAGCAGGGAGTCTTCACTCCTCACTGGACACCAACTGCTCCCACTGTATCAGCAACACTGACTAATTGCTGTAGTTGTGCAATGTCAATTTGAGATAACAACACACGCATATACAGTTCATGGAGAAAAACAACCAAAGACCTCTCTCTTCACAACAATGTCAGATATTGACAATAGTCGTTTTGACTTGTAATTAATAGCAAGTATATTGTCACCTAAACTATTTAATCCAGCCATTATCTGTACCACTCATCCTGAAGAGGGTCTCAGGGGGCCTGGAGCCAATCCCAGCCGACATTGGGCGAGAGGCAGGATCCACCCTGGACAGGTCATCAGTCTATCACAGGGCTGACACTTAGAGACAGACAACCACACACACTCACACTCACTCCTAGGGGCAATTTAGAGACACCAATCAACCTAAGCTGCATGTCTTTGGTCTGTGGGAGGAATCTGGAGCAACTGGAGAGAACCCACGCAGGCGCAGGGAGAACATGCAAACTCCACACAGAAAGCCTCTTGAACCTTCTTGGTCTGAGGCAACAGAGCTAACCACTGCTCCACCATGCCGCCCACCTAAACTATTTATCTCGTCATTAAATTAATTCATTAAATCTATTGATTATTTAAAAAAATTAATACAATGGTCAAACAAAAATCACCTGTGTCCAAAGTGATGCCTTAATATTACAGATTTTACAGAAATCTTAATGTACATCTAAATGAAATGCCATAACTGTCTGTGAATGAAACTCTAAGGTCATGCTCAACTGAACAGAAGCAAACACTCCAGACTGACTTAAGGCAATTAGGAGTGCAGATTAAACCAACAGAGAGAGCAAATCACATAAGGAGAGTACAGTGCCTTTGGTTTGACCTGCCTATAAAGCTGAGCCTGATGCTGCTGCCTAACTACACATCATTCAAGTACAACTGAATACCTGAACAGAGTGAAATGATGTAGCCTAGGGGAAAATCACATACCATAAAAATACTTTGTGCAGGTCATGCCAACAAAGTATCTTAACAATGATATGCTGTTTTATTTATTATTACCAAACCACTATATTAGAAGGATTTTGCAGCTTTCACCAAACAATTAACTAACAACCTATAAATGCAGTGCTATGTGAAAGTGGTTCATGACATATTTAAAGTTTAATTTATCCAAGGAAGGCTAAGAAAACCTAATGTTTGTTTTCTGACAGGGTGAACCTGTTAGCATTAGCCTACTCTCTCAACAGATGTTCACATTAGCTGCTGAATAATTCTTTGATCGACTATGATTATTTGACTAACATTCAATTATAAATAAAAGTCAGTGGACTACACAGTGATGCTGGTATTCACCACACTATTTAGAAATATGACTTAAAGTCTTATGTAGTGTGCTTTTAACTATCTAAATCTCGTTATCAGAAAAAAATGCCACTATAATATCTGACCCAACTTTTTACAGTTGCTTTGACAGTTGGTTACACCAAACAAAAAGCTTCCTCACCTTACATGACAGCATTTCCAGACGAGAACACAGCCTGCACACGCACAGCACTGTTAGATTTCCAGTTCTAATAATGATAAACAACCGTGAAACAGTCAGCATGGCAATAAGACCTCCCATCCAGCGCTCAGACACGATCAGTAGTTAGCCGTGAACGCACCGACGCTGCATCTGCAATAAGGTACATGGTGAAATTGTGCACGAAGAGGGGCTTGCATGAGGCAAATGGACCGTGCAGCTTCAATTTCCCTTCGCTGCAGACGAGGGCCCAAATCAAATTATCCCCTAAATATACTCACACATACACACAAGCTAACAGTGACGAACCGAACAGCACCGACACCTAGCCAAACAGTACACGCTAGCCTTAAAGCTAGCTACAAAGCTAACGCTAGCTAGCACCTGTTAGGCAACTACAAGGATGTGAAGTCAGCCTGTGAGTTCACAGAACCTGACAGCAATAGGAGGGAGGGAGGGTGGATGGATGGATGGATGGGGGGGGCCTCGGGTGGTCAAACACATATCTCGATTCTCCAGCACACAGCAAGCTAACGGTCCAAACGGGGGAAATAATAAAAACAGAGCAACGTACCTTCCCGATGCCTCAGTTCCAGCTCGGACAAAACAATTCATCCTTTTCCTGATTTGAGACAAGGTTTTAGTTTTCTACAGGAACGGATGGGACATTCTCCTCATCATGATGGTGTTGTCTTTTTTTTTTCCAGTCTCATTCCTGTGTCAGTGACGTTCACTTCCTGTTTCCCATCCCAACAGAAGCTGCTGCAGCAGCGGTGACTCCATAGTCTGACAGGCAGGGAGGAGAAAGTCCGGTCAGTTGTTCATACGGTCACTGAACTCAGTCAACTTGGATACAAGACAATAGAGTGAACAACTACTGTCCATATCACTTTATTGTCCTGTGTAATCATGGACAGTGTACGAGACAATCGGCGCCTGGACATAGCCATGTAAAAGGCCCCCACCTCTGGAAGTCTTCACTGATTTGTAGTCAGCGCCGTCTTGTGGTTGTTTTGCGTCTATTTATCTGGTTTTAGCCATTTTGTGTTCATCTTTACTCGTTTGGCAGTCATTTTGCACCTATTTCTACATTCGGTATCTAAGTTTGTTGTTGTTTTGCATTTCTTTTCTATTTTTGTTATATTTCTGTAGTTGTTTTCTGTCAGTGGGGTCTTTTCTTTTTAGTGATTTTGTCTCTGCAGTGGTTTTGTGGTTATTTAGCATCAAAATCTCTCTTTTTATGGCTTTTTGTAATAGTTTTGTAGTTATTTCATTGACTTTGACATAAAGGTTAACAGTCCCAACGATTCTGGTGATAGATTAATCATTATAATCATGTATCAAGCAAAAACATTCAGTGAACACAAATGTTGGGAGTTTCTATTTTGGTGTATATTATTGCAAACTGAAAATTATTTAATCGGTTTATTTTTTATTTTTTTTACTTAACAGGGAAATCAGAGTCTGAGGCAGACTGTGAGATGTGGTTGAAAGCTGTGGATAAAGCTAGTTAATGCACCTTGAGTAAAGATTTTTAACTTTGCCAAACTACTGATTCCAGTGGTTAGGCATTCAAGAGATCTGAAGGCATCACCATTGGTTTCTAGAAACCCGTGAAACATTTTTTCACTTTTTCTAGTGGCTCAACAAGTAAAAAATTTGTGTTTACCAGTTTTGCACATTAGCTTTGTACATGCATATTTCATTAATGTTAAAAGATAAAATTGAACAATTTCTTTGTCTTGGGCCAAAGAAGATAGACAAAGTGATGTTTTTCAGATGTATGAGTTTATATTATAACATAACTTTTCAACAGTATTCAATGTTACAAAAAAAATGTTAGTGAATTTTTTACTAACTCCTTCAACATTCAGAAACAGAAAGCTTTACTGTGATTTTACAAAACTGACTATCAAACCATTTTCTTCAGTTCTTACTACGCAACAGTACCATCTATTGATTATCATCAGTAATGTCATTTAAAAACTCATTTTGGATGACTTGGGCTGGAGATGTGGGATGAAAATCGACAAAACTCTGTGAATAATCATTCCTAACTGGAAATGTCTATCCAACTTCCTGATAATTAAATGATCATTAAAAGCTTAATTAGCTGAGTGTGTGCTTCTTTCCCAATATGGTAATGTAATGTTTCCCTCATCTCAGCCTGCTGATTATGATCAAACAAGCTGAAAATCATTTCTCTTAATAGCTCATTAATCAAATGACTTGTTGTAATTCAGTGGGACAGAAACCTAGCAATCTGAGCCTAAAATAAAATACCAGCAACCTGTTATTGAAAGACAGCATCCTGCTTAGTTTGTTGCCTGTATTCCAGCCTGTCCTGGTACAAAACAGTTTGAACCTGCTCATATTTTTTCCAGGCTGTGGTAGAAACCAGTGTCCCTGCGGTGCTGTTGGACTGGCATGTTTCTCCTGGTGCTGCTGACTTTCTCCAGGTCGATCTCCACCAGCACCATTCCTGGCTTCTCCCCTCCACAGTCACCCAGCACTTCACCCCAGGGGTCCACTACCAGGGTGTGGCCGTACGATGAGCGTTTCTCATGGTGCCGACCGACCTGCGCTGCAGCCAAGACAAAGCACTGGGTCTCGATTGCCCGTGCACGGAGTAACACCTGCAAACAAATGCATTTGAAGTACATTTTTAGTTGAGGTTGCTTGGGTTCATATCTCATAATCCAGTCACAAGCAGCTTGAGTAATTAAATAAACAATTAGCTGTTTACCACCTCCCAGTGAGCGGCTCCTGTTGCTACAGTGAAGGCTGACGGGTATGTCAGGATCTCAGCCCCATGCCTTTGCAGAGCCAGTGATAACTCAGGGAATCTTAGGTCATAGCAGATGCCTAAACCCACCTATGGCAACAATATAAAAAAGGTCAGAACAAACTGTTCTTAATGTTTAACTGCAGTTGAAAAACCCAGAGTAAATCAACAACACAGGTGGACATTTTCTCCATGAAATTCAGTAGAATGAAAAATGTTTTGAACTAGAATATTTTGCCTCTTTGATTCTCAAACTGTTAAAAAAAATCTACTTTATCTCGTGCAAAGTAAACAGACAGCTGAGCCCCTATATGGTTTAACTATTTCCAAGCAAAACTAAAAAGTCCTCATCTAAAATGTGTAGTTCTTTCCAATGAGTCTTATTTTGTGCTTTTTGCATTTTGGCTTCAAAGCTAAAACATATTTTTACATTTATTGCAGTTTTCTGTGACAGTATGAACCTCAAAAGGAACACACAATATCAGGAATTCATGTACATTTCCAGGTCTGCTTGGTGGTGGTTAATTCTGTATCTCATTAAATGACACCTTGCCAATGGGAGTTTGGACTGGAGACACGAGGGACGGTCCAGGGATGGTGAAGGCACTTTCTTTAAGAGATATTCTTTTTTCTGGCAGTTCCACATCAAACAAATGGGACTTCCTGTAGACTGTGACAATCTCACCTGTGGGTGTAACAAAGTGTCAACATGAATATTTGTGTGTACTCCAAGAAATCATCAAATGGAAAACATGGACCGTGGGTCTTTAAAAGTATTTCATAAGCTCTTGTATTAGCTAGGGTTGTTGTTGTGAGCATGTTTCTGTTTGTGTAAGAGAGTGAGTGAAAGTAGTCATTGTTAAATGGACAGTACCCTTATCATTAATTATGATGTGACTGTTGTAGATTCGCCTGTCGGTCTCCCAGTCATGTCCTCGTTCATGAAATCCTCCAAGAGACAGCCACACCTCCAGCTTCCTGGAAGAAAGAGAGGTTAAGAGGTATAGAAATCAAGGGCTGATTGATTCTTATTTTGAAAAAAAAAAAGCCGGACTATAGAAACAGGAAACTGTTTTAAGGCATGGCTATCTACTGATGGTTGGAGTTTCACCCCAATCTTTCTTCAGTAGCAGAAAAAATATCTGACTTTGTATGAGGTTTAGAAAATGTTTCCTTGAAATATAAACAGAAACTGTTGTGTCTACCTGGCTAGCTGAATGTATCTTGATACTATGTCTCCTGTTAGGCTCTCAGACAGCGACAGTGTTTCCTCTCGACTGGATCCAATATAGTCAAAGCCTTCAGGCAGGAAGACCATGCTAGCCCCTTGCTCCTTGGCATCCTCCACCAGCTGTTTACAGGCAGTGAAGTTGGCCTCTTTGTCAGATGTGGCCATCACCTGACACACTGCAGTGAGTGGTCGTGGTACACTGGACATCCTGCTGGGAGAAGAATTATTATACGGGATGTCAGTTGATCATTAACTGCTGCTCTGACTTTGTTATCTAAATATTTAAGATGACAGTTTCATTAAATAGAAAACACATTGTAATACATACTTAAAAATGTTATTTTTACAACATTGAACAACTATTTTTATCCTGACTGAGGGATTTCAGTGCGCATGTTCTTTGTACCAGTACAAATGGCAATAAAGTATCTTAAAAATTGAAATTAGCAACTACCTTTTTTGAAAACAAGCTTTAACACGTGTTGATGGTGACATTTGTTCAAGTCATGGTGACCTTACATTTCCATCTTAGTTGCAGACATTTGCAAATATCAGCTAATAAAATTTCGTTGTCAGAGTATTAAACAGACAGCCCAAACCTGTAATGCAGCTGGGCCCGTGGTTTCCAAACTGGGAAAGAGACCAAATACTTTGCAGATGATCCCAAAATGCGCCTGGTCGTAAACATTGGTCTGGGGTGACGCAAAAAACAACACGTCACCGTTTAAACCATTATAGTAACATTTTAATTTTAATTTTAATTGTCTTTTCTTTTCCGTCCCGTTCCGTTCAATCCAGTCCAAGTCCCCTCAAGAAAAGCGTCTTCTTCCTTGTTATTTGTATTCTTCTGATGATGATGTTTATTGGCGATTTGCAAGCAAACTTATGGTGCATTAGCGCCGCCTGCTGGGCTGGAGTGTGCAACTGTTATTTGTCTGTGGCTAGAAACCGGCACACTGGCTCTACCTCCCGGGGAGTGTTTATGTTTGTGTGATTATTAAGGTGCTTATTGCAAAAACAAGCAGCAACAGGGGATGAAATTGCTGATAGGGGTTTAATGTACAATTCTAAAATAAGTAAAGTAAAACAGAAGGTACAGATAATCATCTGTACCTAAGTACAAGAGACTACTTGAGTAAATGTACAAGGTACGTTCAACCACTCACCACTGCCCTTAGTTATTTGCCAGTTTTGGTTATCTAGAAACAGCCCAAGGTATGTCTAAGCTTTCCTGCTTTATATGGCATTAGCAATTTGGGAAGCATTCATTTTTTTTCTTTGAGGATTTGCTTCCTTTCTGAAAAAAAAATGAAATTATTGTCAGAGCATTTTTTTTATTTGCTAATTATTTGTTCACCTGCTGCACGTGCTTTTACCTAAAATGTAGAGTAAATAAAATATAAGGTAAAAACTACTTAATGTCGACAGTTTTTATAATTTGAACGGAGAATAAACAGAAGATTGTTTCTCCACGCTGGACACCGTTTCCACACAGGCATCACATGAGGCTGCTTTCCACATCCTGCCTGGGGTCCTCCTCAGCAACACCCTTCCAAGATGGCAGCCAACAGTAGCAACACGGGTAGCAAGTCTAGCAACAGTGCCGGAGGAAAACAGTCCGGTCCTTCAGCCGAACAGGTACTCTCACCTCCACCGCAGTCCGATTTAGTGGCAACAGTCGTTGTCGGTGGCGTTTAGCCCTGTCGGGTGAAACTAAAGCCGCGGATCTGACCCACAGCTAGCCAAAGCTAACTTTAGCTCCTCAGTCGCTATCGTTCTGCTTTCTCACCACAAAACGGCACAGCAGAGACAACCAGAGTGAATCCGAAAACAGTCTTTGCATTTATACAGAATTTTCCCCTGGTTTATGTTTTTGACGAACTATTTAATACGGTCCAGGTACATTAGAGAACACGCCTCTAATGTGATGGTGTGGTTCAGTGAACGAATCTTCCCCAGACAGTAGAGGGAAGATATTTTTAACCCTGAAGACCACCCAGACCCGTTTTACTAAAGTCAGGCAAGTTATTAAGTATTCAGTTACTCTGTTACAAAACTCCTGCATTCAAAGGGCTACGTTTGTGAAAGCACAAAACTGTTATCACGAAAATGCACTGGCAGCAGGGCTGCAATTAGCTGCATATTTTAATCTTCAGTTCATTATTAGTCTGACGATTATTTTATTGATTTATCAAGGACTCTAGTTTATAAAGCGTCAGAAAATAATTAAAAACGTCCATCTCAATTTCATATTACTCAAATTGACCAATTCAGACAGCATGTTTTGTATATGCAACAGAAAGAAGTCCAAACCTTACATCATAGTGACATAAATCACAGAAAACAGCTGATCATAAGAATAAGAGGCTGTAACTGGAGATTATTTAGTACTTAAATAATAAAAAGGAGTAATTTGTTATCAGAATTAGTACTGATTGATCTTCTCTCAACCATATTTTTTCAGTTACATTGAAAGTATCAAAAGTAACAGTTGTCATATTTTAATCAACAGCTGTTTTGATAATATTTAAATTATTATTCAAGCTAAAAAAGCCAAAACATTTGTGGATCCAGCTTATCAAATATGAGAATTTGCAGCTTTTCCTGGTTTTGCATTGTAGTAAATGGATTATTTTTAAGTTTTGTACTGTTGGTTGGACATAGGATATTTTGATGGGCATTTATCACTCTTTTGATTTAATTAATCAACATTAAAATTAAGATAGTTGCGAAATTTGTTCTTGTCTGACAGGTGGTGGCAACATTTCAAAGGATGCGTCAGGAGCAGCGCAGTATGGCTTCTAAAGCTGCAGAGTTGGAGATGGAGATTAACGAGCACAGGTTCCCACCTCTGCTTTACTGTCTATTGTCTCTTCTTTTAAATAATTGATTAACTGTCTGCTACTGACCGAACCGCTGTGCTTAAAGGTTTATAGACTGTGTGCTTGTAGCCTATTTTTAGACAATAATAATATGCCAGTTTCACTACACATATACAGCCTGAGAATACTTCTGTTTATTATTGAAGTACAGTTTTCAAAGCAGAAAACTGACCAGTTGAGTGGATCTTTACAGTGTGTTGGTAGAATAGTTTTTAATTTTTACCATCATGGGTCTTCCATTCAGCTTAGTAATTGACACCCTGAAGGAAGTGGATCCTTCGAGGAAATGCTTTCGTCTAGTCGGAGGAGTGTTGGTGGAGAGGACGGTTAAAGAAGTTCTACCAGCCTTGGAAAACAACAAAGAACAGGTAATGGATGATAAAAGAAAAACAAATGTTGTAGAACAGTATCTGGAGTCATAACTTATATAAAGTGCCATCATTAAAACTGTTAGCGCAAACATGACAATGTTGTAATGTTCAAAACATACAGGTGGAGAAAACAACTTAAGACAAATTTAATTTTAGTAGAACATCTCACCTTCTTCCCTTTTTGTCTCCGTAGATCTCCAAAATAATTGAGTCCATCAACACACAGATGCAGGCAAAAGGACGGGAACTCACAGAGTACAGGGAACGCTACAACATCCGGTTGGTCGGGGAGGGTGAAGGCGAGACACAAGGCCAATCAGCGGCGTCCTCCAGGAACAGCGAAGGAGGCGTGTCCAAAAGCGGTGCTGGTGTTTTAGTGTCATAGTTTGTAATGAGTGAGGGTGACAGTAGGGCTTTATGATTTTTGGAATAAACATAGTTGGAGTCACAGAATCTAGGTTCAAAAACAGAACTCTTTATAGGATAACTTTGGATTTGAAGGTTACTGAAGTTTCTGCTAAACATAAGGCACTTGGTAACATAAGTCAACTGAAACAGACAAATTCAAACAGCATATGTGCTCTGCTTTTGTGTGTTCAGTGTGAAGGCAAGTGGGTGTAAAATTTAAAATTGTTTTTACATTTGGCTTTCAGTGAATCTGTCTTTTTTTTCAATTGCTGAAATGCTGTGGCATAATTTCAACAGTTATTTTCAAGCATTTTAATATTTGTTTTGTCTTACTCTGAAAAATTGTTTGAGACATCAAGAAAATACCAGACAAATGAGTACACACAGTTATCAAATAAACACTAGATAATTTCCAGTAAACATGCTTTTGTGTTTTGTAAAATAATTTAAAAATGTGAAAAAATAAAAGCCGATTTCATAGGGCCCTAAAGCAGGTTGAAGCTGTGTAAAAGGTCACCCTTGTGGAAGCAGGACAGGCCCTGGAGGGCATTCTGACAGCATGTGTTATGAGCACAAACGAGATTATACTGTAAACATGTTACTATAGATCAAAATGAAAAGCGTTTTATTCACAACTAATAAAATTGTATTTGTTATTAGGTCATGTGCAGAAAGGCCCCTTTGTTAATTCTCATGTGAGGTCAGTTTGTGCTCATGGGTTACAAAAGTACAAGATTAGTGAGCGACCAGAAATGACTCCTACTACCGCATCTTAATAATAAAGTCCTGTTATTGAAGCCACAATAAAACTTGTCATATTCTTTTTGATCTAGAGCACACACAGTGTATTTAGGACAAGAATATTGCATTTATCAAGTTAGGAACTAAGATAATGTCATTGAGTAGGTTACCGGTTTTGCCTAGTGCCATACCTACGTAACTACATGTGGAGGGAAGCACAATATCAGCAAAACAAGCTTTCGACGAGGATGGGATTCGAACCCACGCGTGCAGAGCACAATGGATTAGCAGTCCATCGCCTTAACCACTCGGCCACCTCGTCTGTTGGCAGCCTTCGGTAAGAACTAACTTATTATGTAATAAGTATAATAAAATAAAAACAAATAAAATATGTTGCTGTGATATGAAAATCTTCGTTCTCGTGTAAATTCACAAGGTGGAAATAACCGTCTATTCTCAATCCAGCCGTGAACCAGTTCAGCTAAAAGCTAGCCAGCTACATTGCTCCTGGATAAACTTTAGCGGCGCTTTTACTCTAGTCATTACAGTTAAACCTATTACACATCGACATGCGCCGCTGTCGCAACAGCCGAATCGAAGAGTGGCAACAGCTGTACTGTGTTGGATGGAGACCAGACAACTGGACCAGTTTCATTGTTTTCACTGTCTATAGCCTTTTGAAAATCTGGGGCAGCGCTGCCACTTACCAGCACAATATGCAGTCATGTATTCGTTGCATTTACAGCCTAATAGGCTGTAGTATTATCAGTGTAATAGCAGTGTAGGTAACGTTAGCTAGGACAGAAATAGACAGCTCTCAAGGAACCTGCTTTGTGTGTAGTAATCGGCAGTTTGCTGTTTCTCTGGGATGCATTTCTCCAAGAAATGTTCCGCCTTCAAAGTGGTGCTGAGTGCTCTGCTGATAGTGGCGCTCCTACAACTCATATACCTGTCCTTCCTGTCCAGGTTTCACGGTAAACAGCAACAGTACAGATACTCTGAGCTCTTTGGAGGCTCTGGAGCCAAGAAAAATGCGCATGCCGAGAAAAACTCGCGGAAAGAGCGTCTGAGGTACTCGCTGTCCACTGGTGGGATCTTCGACAACAGTGGTCAGTATCGGGTGTACAAGAACTTGATAAAAAGTGATTTCACCACAAACCAGAAACCAGGATCCGACCCTAGCCACAATGTCCTGGCGTTAGCCACACACACTACCATCAACAACCTGCATCACCTGGAATCTCTTCTGGAGAGGTGGCAGAACCCACTCTCTGTGGCCATATTCGCACATGGGCAAGATGTCAAGTTTGCCACAGCTCTGGTCTATGCACTCAGCTTCTTCTGCCCTCAGATCCAAGCCCTAGTGGACTTCCATCTGGTATGCCTCTCAGGAGAGATGGCTAGTTTCCCTGAACAGGACCGTGAGCATTTTGCAGGACTTGAGGACTGTGCCTCTGTGTTCTCCAGGCTGGAGACCCACAGTGATAAATACAAGAACTATGCCATCAGTGGAAACATCTCCTACCCCAACAACCTTCTTCGTAATGTTGCTCGAGGAGGAACAGAGTCCTCTTACATCCTGGTCATTGACATCGACATGATGCCGAGTGCTGACCTGCACCAGCAGTTCCTGTCCATGATCATGAAGCGCGAGGCAGCAAGTGATGAAGTGTTTGTGTTGCCTGCTTTCGAGATCCGCCACGCCAGGAAGATTCCTGCCACAAAGGCCGAGCTGGTCCAGCTCTACCAGGTGGGTGAGGTTCGGCCGTTTTATGAAGAGCTGTGTCCTCGCTGTCAGGCTCCCACCAATTACTCACAGTGGGTTAACAGCCACGTCAAAGAGACAGGCACCCTGGAGGTCGCCTATATGCTCACCTGGGTGGACCCCTGGGAGCCTTTCTACATCGGGCCCCGCACTGTGCCCCTCTATGATGAGAACTTCAAGCAGTATGGCTTCAATCGCATCAGCCAGGTCAGCACACTATGATTATGTAAAGAAATTTCTAACTTGTAGTCCACTTTTTCTAGCTGCTGAAGTTAAGATATGTTTGTCAGATGTGAACATTATCTAATGCATATTTGATTGGCAGGTGTACAGGAGTAACTGGCATACTCTCAGCACTAGAAAAGGATTGTTTTGGTCATATCTACCTTCTTTTGCAGAGATGAGATGATAACAGGGGATGTTTCAACCAAAATATACATTTCTAATGTGTGAAATGCAGATAGGTCCTGGGGCACCATCACAACCTTGTCCTGAATAACATAAAATTATCATCTGATGTATATTTTATATTGTTTTTGAAAACGTCTTCCACTCATCTTCCTCATGCTGTTTTTTTTTAACCATATTTCATCTCTTCTCTTCACATCCTCTCTGTCCTTCTGTCACTTTCTATCATTCTCTTCTACCTCTCTCCTCCTCTCCTGTCCCTCTGCTCACTCCCCACTTCCACATCAGCCTTCTCATCCTGTCTTTCCGTCTCCCTCCAGGCCTGCGAGCTCCATGTGGCAGGATACCGGTTCTCTGTGCTGAGCTCAGCCTTCGTGGTGCATCGGGGCTTCAAAATCCAGGGGGAGTTCCATGCCAGGAAAGATGAGGAGAACAAACGCAACCGGGCTCTGTTCCGCAGCTTCAAAGAGGGCCTGAAGTCCAAATACCCATCCTCCCCCAGACGATGCTGAAAGATGATGAGGATTCTGTATCCTGCCTGTATCAGTCTCTAACGAAATCAGTATTCTGCTGAAATGATGGACGTACATTTTTCTTATCCTAATTTTTCTGTGATTTCCTGTGATGATGGCACAGTAGCATCTTAAGATAATCCAGCTCCTGGCTTTATTTTAAGTCTCTCTGACAATGAGCATGCTCTCCGAGGATTTCAGAGAGCGTTGTGCTAGTTGGGACTGAAAAGAAGAAACGATCATGCAGTGGAAAACTGGCCAGTCACTCTTAACATTACAGTTTTTTAATCAAACACATATTTAAAACCTAGATGACACTGACTGACTGACGTTACAAGCACATGTTCTATTTTAAAACATTTTTGAGCTTGTCTGTAGGCAAAAATAAACACAAAAGGCCTGTTTCCAGCAAAGGAACCTTCCCAGAGGAACAGGAACCTTTTGTGGAACTTACACTATGTTCACATGACAGGCCTTGGTGTTCAATTCTGATCTTTTTGTCAGATCCAGTATTTTTCTGTTCATGGTTCACATTCATGTATCCAGCTCCAGTGTGAACAGAGGTCTTAAACTGCCATGCATGCACAGAACAACGTCATTTGTGCAACGGTCAAATCGCACAATTTCCTCACAGACTGTTGGGTTACAACATGTTTCCTCCATCTTGGCGTGGTCAGAATGTGAAGTGTCTTCATCTCTCCACTGACCCCCATTGCTGCTGTTGCTGTCCTCCATGTTTATTTTAACTGGTCTGTGAAACCTAACGCAGACTGATGACAACAGGCGCAGAGTGAATCAGTGGAAAACCCACATGAATTCTGATCTGACCGTTCTGACAGAGGTCGCACGGTCAGAGATGGGATATGAATTGCATCTAAGACTACATATGCAAGTGGCCCAGATCTGATTTGAAAAAGAAAAAAAATAGGATTTGCTTTGTTCACATCTGTGAAAAGATCAGATCTGAGTCACTTGAACGGGGTAAAAATCTGATTTCAGTCAGATTAATTCAGTTTTATTTGTATAGCGCCAAATCACAGCAAAAGTAAACTCAGGACACTTTACAAAGTGAGGTCTAGACCTTACTGTTATCAATATTATTAGGGAAAACCCAACAAATCCCCCTTGAGCAAGCACTTGGTGACAGTGGGGAGGAAAATCTCCCTTTAACGGAAGAAACCTCAGACAGACCCCGGCTCTTGGTGGGCGGCCTTCTGCCTCGACCGGTTGGGGTGAGTGGATAGAGGAGAGAGAAAAGAAGAAAAGCAACAAGACACTAAACAATCAAACACTAGTCAGGCTGATGTGGCTGGTGACTGCTCATCAGAAGGGGAAAGAAACTCAGAGCATCATGGGGCCCCCAGCAGCCTAGGCCTATAGCAGCATAACTAAGGGAAGGCTCAGGGTCACCTGATCCAGCCCTAACTATAGGCTTTATCAAAAAGGAACGTCTTAAGTCTAATCTTAAAGGTAGAGAGGGTGTCCGCCTCCCGAACTGAGACTGGGAGTTGGTTCCATAGGAGAGGAGCTTGATAGCTAAAGGCTCTGCCTCCCATTCTGCTTTTGTGGACTCTAGGGACCACAAGTAAACCTGCACTCTGAGAGCGAAGTGCTCTGTTAGGATGATAAGGCTCTATGAGGTCTTTAAGATACGATGGAGCCTTGTCATTAAGGGCTTTGTATGTTAGGAGAAGGATTTTAAATTCTATTCTGAATTTTACAGGGAGCCAGTGGAGAGAAGCTAATATGGGAGAGATATGATCTCTCTTGCTAGTTCCTGTCAGTACTCTGGCTGCAGCATTTTGGATTAACTGGAGGCTTTTTAGAGACTCACCATGTAGTCTGAACGTAGCTTTAGTTCCTCTACCTGTTAGTCCTTGTGAATTTTTTTGCCAAACAGCGATGTACTCAAGCCACCAGATGGCAACAGTAACTTGAGCATCACATGCTGGGTTGCTGTGAATATTTTAGTCTGAAGTGAGTGAATGATAGAAACACTACAGCCGAACACAGGGATTACACAACACCAGCACTGTTTGGTGCTCAGAGGGATGCGAATTGACTCTGCACAACAGCTGTCAACACGTTTCATAAGTTTTCAGAACCCCATGAGTGCTTGTTCTTGCCTCAGACTGTCTGAGATGATTGCTCACACATCATGAGGCCAACTTTATATAGAGATATTGTACAACACTGTGGAAAAGTGCTGTTATAACACTGAGGATCTGACACTGGTAATCTGTTGAGTTGTTTTTGTTTTTTTTCCCACCTCTTGAAGTAGAGTATATGGTGTAGCCAGTGAGCTACAGGTGGTAATGTAGCATGTTTAGTGGGTAGAAAGAACATTTTGGATAATCAAAATGTAAACCACAAACAAAGCAGCCCATATTGTCAACAGGACTGCTTATCAAAAGCATCACTAGCGAAGAAATAGCTTATTATTACCCACTGGTACATAGAAACAGTATTAAACCTTGACACTCTCCTCATGTCTGTTTAGTGAAAATGCATATAAACAGTATATACAAAAGACGTGTGGTTACTTTTAATTGTTCAATTGTTATGTAATTGTGAGAATTAGTTTTTTCTTCTTCACTTGTAGTGTTTACCATATACAGTATTTATTGTGAAAACATTTTCTATTAACCGGAATCCTTTTTTAATTACCTCAAGCAGGAAAACTGTGTGTTTGGTGCAAAAAATGGTTTGGTAGTTAATGTTTATTTAGAACCGCTGTAAAACCATTTTATTTGGTATTTTTGGAGTGAGACCAATTTGAACAAATTATCTTGTGGCGTGGTGCTTTATTTCTAACGTGTCTTTCCTCATTTGAGACTGCTTTTTTTTTTTACTATTTATTTTTTAGTGTCTGTTCAAAAGGTATAATGCCTGATTTGTATTGTTGGAGTTTCTATTAAAGCTACTGGATGACCTTTTTGACCCATATTTGTCACCTATTCATTATTCAAGATCATCAGTTTTTACAACTACTGAATAACATCTTGGACAAGAAAGCTCTCTGAGCACTTGTAAATGCAAAAATCCAGTCAATTAACATCACCAGAGGGATTTGTAATGTCAACAGAGGGCCAGGAATCCAAGGAAACATGATCAACTTGTTCCTAACATAACTAAGTAGATTTGTCTCATTTAACCTGAATTTGTGTGTGGCATTAGTAATAATGGTAGTAGTAATATTGTTGGTCATTCGCAGTGAGAACAACTACAAGGTATCAGTAGCGGTATCGTTCACTGCGCACTTGACACTGCTGCCATCAACCTGTGGTGTAACATGGCTTAAGATGGAGGTTTTAATGTATCTTTGCACTAATAGCATGTGATGGGTGATTACAGGGTGAGTCGGGTCAGCATCCAATTAAAAGCTCCTATTTAGTAATTAAGATTTGTACTGAACTGGACCTTGAGGAGTTTTCAGTAAGGCTCCACTTTGTAATGGACTGAGTAACCTGTACAGTAACAATAACCATCTACACCACCAGCATGTGCAACTGCATTTCCAAACTTTTTAACTGCTTTTCATTTTATCTCTCTATGACAAAACATTTTTAGGGTGATCACACGAAAAACATCTGTGTAGCGTTAACATCGCCTAAGTGTTGCTCGGTGAGCCGACCATCTGTTGGTAAAGCAGAGCACATGACGTTCGGCGCTTGACAACTCTGTGAGACGTGGCATTTTGTGGCTAAGCCTGCATTACCGGGCTCAACAATAAGCCAGGCACACGAGAGCTAGTAGCACGCAACTCCATGCTCTGGCTTTTGGATCGGCTTTCATTGGGCACACCTAATCAAGTCGTATGTCTTTGCTAAAAATCTGACACTTTTGCTTTCAGGTCAGTTTATCACACATTCCTAAAGATAAGTCGTTACTCAGACTTACCAATATTTTACAGATATTTATTCATGCATGTATAAAAGCTTTACCTATTGCTATTCAAAGGTTTTCTCCTCTCACTCAAGCTACATAAGTACTTTTCATCTGGTTTAGGTATAAATACATACATGCAGCTCCTTAAAAAATTACTACTCTACAAAGTTTCATCTAGCCATGGAAGATGCAGAAATGTTGGGGGGGGGGGAGGAGGAGAGGCAGGTTTGGTGAGGTAAAGTGGGGTTTATCTGGACAGCCTAGGGAGTGAAGGCTTATCTGGGTCAGAGAGCTTTATGACATAAGCAATTATGGCTTGTGTAAGCTAGCAGGAGGGAGGCCTCCCACCATCTAGGTTAGCTCTTCTTGGGGTGGGGGGGCAAGGGGTCAACAAACATGGACTGCAGGCATAGAGTCTTCCCAGATATGGGTCATCGAATGGGTCAGTGACCCATTTTGGTGAAAGGAATTTGCTAAAAGAAATGTGTGTGCAAATGAATTGGTAGTTTGTCCCTGCAACATGTTCAACAGCAGTCTGAACAGAAAAGCACTGCAGAAGACATTTATGCCTCTCGGCTTAACTCCAGCGACTCCTTCTAATGAGCCACTTGACTGGAAGGATTTACAAATGATTAGGCCAAATGGTTTAGAGAAATGGCTGAAGAGACTGCAGGAGCCATTTTCAGTTCGGTGTATATGTTTGTGTTTACACAGATACATCTGAATTTGGGATTTTGGACAAACAGGTTTGTTTCTCCTAAAAGCAAACATCACACAGTAGCAGTCCCTCACTGGCTTTTTACATACGGCAAATAGTCAGTGTAGAGATGTTCACATTTCCTGTATAAATGATGTGTTTACTAAAGTAACTCTTGGGGATGGGGGGGTTCAGAATACAGTATATTATTACAGAAAACTGACATAAATCAGATTACGATTACCAATACGTGTGTAAAGTTTCAAAAGTTCTGTAACAAATTACACATTTCTGTCATAAAAATATAAGTAGGAGGGCTTGAGTGGCCGTCAAGGTGCATTTAATAAATGCCAAAAAGTTCAGACAATATGATTTAGTCCACTAAGTCAACTAATCATTTGAGCTTCAACATTATAGTACTCTTTTAATTGTTGTGTATCATTGTTCTACAACGCCCTCCTCCAGAAACACACTCCACCTTGCTTTCTCCCTTTATAACCTCGTTGCGTCTCTTCGTGTGTGATGTCACATGTTAATTACAGGTAGGTTTTTTCAGCTAGGGGCACAGACATTTCTCGAGACAACCACAACAGATTGTAACCACAGGCTAAGCATGTGTCTCTCTGAGACGCAGCCAGCCGTTTCACTTAAACAAGTGAAGGCTTAGCTGTCATCAGTGCCAGCTTTGGGAGAAGTGTACTTGTCTGCTTACAGAAAAGTCCTCTCAGGCAAATGACATGCATATCAGTCTGTCTCTAAACCTGGTGTTCTTGGACACCTGGGCTGCCTGCATTTTAAATGTGTCCAGCTAAAGCCAGACTATGTGGGCTGGAGGACAGAAGTAATGAGACATGTCACTGCCTGGGGAAAAGAAAAGGAAGACTAACAGATAGAGGTAATCCTTCTCACCAAGCTAACGCCTCTTAGCCTCCCACCCCTGCTGTCACGTGAAGCCACCAGGAAGAGAGGCAACAGACGCATACATCCAGACACAGTGAGTTAATTCTGCTTCAATCGATCACAATCAATCGGTAACAGATGATCGGAGCTATGATACAATTACCCGAAGGTTTGCACAACACAAACAAAGATTATACATGAAGGATATCAGAGGTGTTATCGAGCGTTAGTACTGATGTGATAGAAAGCAAATCAAATATGGATTTTCCTTACTCTTGGTACTGACAAAAACTAGCACTAAGGTTTTAAATTCACAGATTTTACTGCTTTGGTATCAACAAACTTGGCTGGACACCTGCTCAGTAAAACGGTTATAATTCAGGAGATTAAGTGGGATTTATATGACAGACCAAACTTTAGTTCAGCTGTCAGCCCTAGTCTCAAAGGATCTCACAAACTGACTTTAAATAAAATCAATATAAGCCAATAATGAGGAGGGCTGTTTGTGTTTTCACTATTTTTACAGCCCTGATGTCAGAGTGTGTCCAACGCCTTTGTAGGCACAACAACAAATCCTGCCTGTGACATTGGTTGTAGGCCTCACTCTTTTTTTTATACAACATATAATAAAGTATCATGTAATAACTAGGTTGCATTAGCTATAGGGAGTAGAGTTATACAGACAGTTATACGCCCAGACAGACATGCAGAGATGTATCTCTATTTTACAGCCCTACAAAAAAAAGACAAATTATTCTTTCATTGCTTCTTCCTTCCTGACGTCTACGAGGTCTTTCTGTTGAGGCCCTGACAGCATCAGTAGTACAGGACGAGCTGGGCCGGGCAGACCAGAGTGGATCAGGAGGAGGTAAGTCACCAAAGCAGGAATTAATGAGCATTATCGTATTAGGTAAGAATAAGTCCCACCTTAAATCCCTCAGGATTCCTGAACAACTCCAGTAGCACCTGTGACATGTGATGGAGGAAGGCAGCAGAGGGAGAGGATGGTTTTGTGTGTGTGTGAAAACGCAAACAATGTCTTATAAGAAAATTATACAATACTGAACTGAAACAGAATAAATATTAGTTTTAGTTAAGTTACTCAAATCAGCCTGAGAGAGTGTTTGGTTTATTTGCCATATACTAGAGACACTAAGTCAGGTGGTGACACCTCATCTGTACTCGTTATCTTATGCAATGTGCAGCGTCCATCAGCCTGATGTTTACTTTAAATTATTTCAAAATTCACACGCATCTTTGTTTTATATCAAATTTACATTCACAAAGGGAGAAAGTAGAATTTGAGAAAAGGACATTTTTTAAAGTCACATCGGCCTAACTGCCAAAACAATTCACAACAAAACAGGGATGAGACGTTTGACTTTCTTTCATCCGATTCTGTCAGAAAAAAGACTTTCCTGTGTTTTTGGTGATCTGAACACCAAGTCTGAAAATGGCTTTGTGAGCTCAGCCTGTTACATCAGCTACTGATGCTGTTGCTCGCGCAGTTAAATATTGGTATTTAAAGGTGTGACCACAGTCAGCAAACAAGAAAGCAAATTTGATTTGCTGGGGCTATTTTTTAAAGGCTTAAATTCGAGTCTGCCAGCAAACCATGAGCTTGTAGTAAGCTTCAACACAAAACATGATCCTGTCTGGGGGTGGCTCGTTATACTGGAAGCTACAACAGCTCCATCCACCAGAGAACGATACCTGGACAGAACATCTCATCCCACTAATAATCTCCAGACAGCTTTCCCTTCACACCTTAAAGTGTAAAGCAGCTTGTTGTTCTGACTCATCTATAAATTCACACAGGAGGGATTTCCCCTGGACATGCTAACCACGTGCAGTGACATAGCACTGCATAAGAAAAATGAATTTAGTCATGTGCCACAAGATCACCTACTTTTAAGATTTTCCTTTTGGGTTTCTGATACTTGTAGGGGGGAAATCAAATATCTTAAATATCCTGGAAGAGATCACTTTTATTTTGGTACCTATCTGTATCTGTATGTTATTTAAATGTCTTCTTTATACAGATTGTAAATACATGTATCAAAACTCAGCTGCAGGTGTCATTTAAACATCTACTTGGTTTAAATGTTTAAATGAAACTGCCTGTCAGTATTTGCTGAAAATGTATTTCTATCTCCTGTGTCAATTGGATCCAAAGCTCGTTCTCCTTCTCTGCTCCTCTCACCCCACGGCGATAGATGGGGAAGTCATTTTTGTCGTTAGAGAGTGTCCCTTGTGTGGGGGTGGGGGCGTGGGCGCTGGGTAGGCCTGTCTGAGAGGATACTGCTGTTGAGTTGCAAATGAGCTTGTAATTAGCCCTTACACATTTGCCTGGGGGGAATTAGCGTGTGTGTGTCATTGTGTGTTTTTAACCCATTTTCCATAGTATAAGGGTGACGGTGATAAGCAGATAATACTAAATACTTCTCCTCCCAGTTGCTTGTTAATTGTGTTGGTGTGGATACAGCATGGTAATACCCTCATTCTACACACACACACACAGATGCATGCCCCCCTCTGCCTGTTGGAAAGATCAACAGGTAATTTTAGAGCAGGAGGCAAATGTTTAAGCTGCTATTTAACTATGTCAGGTGGGGTTTCATTATACTGTATATGGATCCAGCCACTGAGGCAGGCAGTGTGTGTGTGTGTACATTAATTTGTAGTTGCTAACAAGTTCATTCTGTTCTTAAATTAAAACACAAAGCCTATAGAACTGCAGGTTCTACTAAACACAGCATGTGTTCCCACAGGACCTGACTGGTTAAACAGTATAGACAGCACTTTTTAAACTAAGATCACATTAAAATAAATCTGGAGGTTTGATTTGATTAAAACATGTCATGACTTTGGGTCACAGAATAAAATGTCCATCCATTTTCTGTCCCTGCTGATCCCAGTCACAGGCCAAACCTATGCCACTAGGTCATAGGCAAGAGGAGGTATGTGGAGAGTCCATCAGAATATACACATCCAGTGGTGAAGAACAGCATGTCCTGCCTGTAAATTATCAATTTAAATTGCATTTAGGGTGGCAATTTCTTAATATTTCAATTACAATTACAAAGATACTGTATATAGTCAACTCCCTGGACCCTCCAACCTTCTACAAACACATACATCATCTGTTCATCCCATCACCATCTTATCATTTATCCTTTTTTAACGGCTTGGGAGCACTTAAGCAGATTTCAGTTCAATCTGCTCACAAAGTGTTAAACAGATTGGGCTGGCACATTTCTTCTAATGAAGGTGAATCTCTGTCTGTATGTGTGTGTGTATGTGTGTGTGTGTGTGTGTGTGTGTGTGTGTGTGACCATGGAGCAAAGTGTCTGAATCTTAGAAGGGTTAGATTAACTGTGACTACCAGCTTCACTGAGCTCATTTCTCCCCTTCTGTGCCAAGTGACAGACTAATACAGACAGACACACATTCATACACACCTCCCTTTCACATTAGACCACCAATCACACCTAGCATTTTAATCTAGATTTAAACTTTAACATGTATCAAATGATTCATTAAGTAATTCTATATGACCTCCACTGAGCAGCATCTCAGGAACAGAGTAGGAAAGGTTCCTCTGTGTCTTGTGCTAAAAGGATTAGTGAACCTATTGACTGACAAGATAATTAACTTATGTCAATTTTGATACATGATTAACTGTAAAGTTAGTTATTCAGTAAATATTTGCTTGTTCTCAATTCTTCAAGATACAGTTATCTGATTTTTACAGGGGGGCTGTAAAAATTCATCTGAGTTCGGACTTTTTTCTCAGAGTCAGAATTTTGAGAAAAAAGTCAGAGTTCCGAAGGGCACCGCGCGCAGGCAGCGTCGCGACGCGGCTCATCGTGTGGCGCGCGTCACATGGCTCCTTCCTGAAGCGTTGACGCACGTTGACGCGCGGCACTTCGCCCCAGTGTGGGGACTTTTCATTGAGAGTAAGGGGTGCGGTGTTGAGTTTAAAGTCAGAACTGTGATTTTTTTCCTCCAAATCTGAAAAAGTAAGAACTCCAATCCTCTCCCATGCGTTTTCTCTGTTAAGTGAATCACTCAAAGTTTTTAACTGTCAGAAAAATGGAGCAACTTGAAGAAAACACTTCATATTGTTATTTACATTTTACTGACACGATCGTAAAAATATATATCACAAGCTAAAAAAGCTACTTTTTAAGATAAAAGATTACATGCAGCCCTTTCCCTAAACAGAAATGTTGCACAACCTCTGTGAGAACTATAGGAGGTTGAGAATTTTTTTATATAAGTGGATTAAAATTTTATTGCGTGAGTAATAAAAAACAATTTGGAAATATCCAGAGCAAACACTCTCTATCCCTTAGTGTCTGGTAGGCTGGTATCTAGGGGGAACTTAAGCCCTTCACTACCAGATTATCCTTTACCTGACTGCAACCTTTATGTAAAGCCTCATATTCACTAATCTATGTCTGCCTGTAGGCTTTAAATGATATTGTAAATCAAAATGTTTTGAACTTAACCTTCTTTATTCGTTCTTTGGCTAACTGATGCTTGAAAAGTTGCACTTTTCTCTGGGTTCTTATATGCATATAACTTGTAAGCATGTTTGCATTCTAGCTGACAGATGCTTGCAGGGTCCTTAACCTGATTAATAAGAAAAATTTCCTAAGACTGATTAATGAGCTACCGAGATCAGAAGGATTGAACGGTCCGTGTCCTGACGTGTCCTGGCGTTGCTCTGCTGCGCATCTATGTGTATAGGCGCGTTTTCATTAGCATGCGTCTTGGTCTGGCAAGCAGATGATTGCCTATAGGTGCAACCGTGTCTGTTTTAATTACAGATCAGATCAACCTTTCGCTCTGCTTACTCTCATCATCTCCTCCTGGGGTGATTCCCTCTCCACCAGATCCGAGCAATTTAATAACCTACCCTCGCTTGTTTGCTCACTGCAGACATCCTAGCAGTCAGTGTATCCTCAGGCTAAGCCAAACAAGCTGATCACCTCTGTACACACTACCCCCCACTAAGAAGCTAATGGCCTGGGTGTATAATCCTTCTCAAAACATCTACAGAGATGCTAATTGTATCTAGCTATAAATACAGGTTGACTCCTTGTCCTCTTTCTTTGTGTCTACTTGTGGAAATCCGGATACGCCGTCGCCGTCTGCACCGGCTTCTGTTTAACATTGCTCAAATACCAGACAAGACTCAGTTACATAAGAGAGGCAGGTAAATGCTTCAGGTATCAAGAAAAGTGTCAAAGGGCAGCAAGAGTGCGGAGTTTTACGCACGGTTGGATGCATCATTTTAATGCGCGCCGTGAACTTTTCATAACTTCTGTGAGCTACTGAGTCGCAACATAGCGAGATGTTCCCACTGCCGATGTTCACACCGGATCAGGTCGCTCGAGTGTGCGAGAACTTGGAGGAGACCGGGGACATCGAGCGCCTCGGCCGGTTCCTCTGGTCCTTGCCTGCCGCTGTCCCTGGCTCCGCAGGGGAAGCTCTGAACCGACACGAGTCCGTGATGCGAGCGAGGGCACTGGTCGCTTTCCACGGGGGAAACTTTGAGGCTCTCTACCAGATCCTCCAGAGCCATCGGTTTACGCGCGAGTCGCACGCCAAGCTCCAAGACCTGTGGCTGGACGCGCATTACCGAGAGGCAGAGCGGCTCCGAGGGCGGCCGCTGGGCCCGGTGGAGAAGTACAGGATCCGCAAGAAGTTCCCTCTACCCCGCACCATCTGGGATGGCGAGCAGAAGACGCACTGCTTTAAGGTAAATAACCTGAAAGTGTTATAGGCGGAGACGAGGGAAGGTAACAAAAGTGATCTATATAGTGTTATAACGTGACCCACAGAGCTGTCTGTGGCGTGTTCCCTCGTCTTTGGGCAAAACATTGAATATGAGGCGTTGGTCCCCGCGGTGCATCATAATATAACATGCATTTATATAATATGAAACACTGGTGCTTCTTAACCTGACGCTGATGTATCAAGCAATCTTGTCTTTGAGCTCTTAATATGATAATGGTCAGAGCCTGTTATCCTTCTGCCTAGTCAAACTGCTTTAGTACCAGTGTCCGTTGCAAGATCAGAGATCTCATGCAAACCTAGACACTATTTTCTGACCAGGATTCTCTTCTTCCTGTCCCAAACTAATGTCCTGATGTGCAGAGTATCTTTAACATCACTGTGCAGCCTACATAAAAATACAGAAACCTTCATATTTCAGTGTCATGAGAGTTGGGAAGAAAACTGATGGTGATTTGTCACTTAAATTAACACCACCACCTGAATTTACCAAGAGAGGAATGAGTGAAAACAAATTGCTTACAGATTTCAAAATATAGCTGGAGAGCAGACTGGTGTGTTCCTGTGTGTGATCTCCTTCTTGTGGCAGATTGAAGTACTGGTCATAGGTTTAGATCATCTTTAATTCCAACCTTCTTTCTTTAATTCCAACCCTCAGAAGGGATAGCTTTTAAAGCCCCTTAATATGATCCAGTCTAGAGGATAGACATCATTGGGTAAACTTATAATATTGTGATCATCTTTTTATAAATCCAGTCTAATATGATTATGGAGAGCATCCTCAGAGTGATAAGATGATTGTGGCTTAATGGGATGATGTGAAACGCTAACCGCATTGTTTTGGCCCACTTATGGTGTCTTTTCAAAGTGCCATGCTTTTTTTTACCAACCAAAAAAAAAAAAGTAGATGTAGCATATATGAGACACCTACAGTAAACATGGGACCCCAAATATACCATATATTCCCTGTCTTTTCCAGGAAAGAACACGCAGTTTACTGAGAGAGTGGTACCTCCAGGACCCCTACCCCAACCCATCCAGGAAACGGCACCTGGCCCAGGCTACAGGACTCACACCCACACAAGTCGGAAACTGGTTCAAGAACCGTCGCCAAAGAGACCGTGCCGCATCCGCAAAGAACCGGTATGAAAAAGTTACAACTGAATTTACTGACTATGACCAAAAAGGAGAAAAAAGGATGAAAACTGAAATGTGCTTTTTACTTTAGCTATAGATTACATCTGTATTGTACAAACTAGTGCGGCAAATGCCTTGTATTTTCATTATACTGTAGTAATCCTTTGATTCATAGAATAATATTTTGGTTCATATAATGACATAAAACAGTAAAATGTATGTTATAATTCCCACCAGTCTAAAGTGACATTCAGATATTTTACATCTGACCAGCTGTTCAAAACACACAAGCTAATTTTTGCAGCTCTAATAGAGAGAGATAGAGTTCTCTGAAAAATGTGGTTGACCTAAAATTAATTTGTCCTCCAGTGCAATAGGCAATAATTGTACTTTTTCAGCTCTCAGAGTACACACTAAGGATCTTTTGCTGGCTTTGTCCATAAAGGCTCAACCAAAAAGATAAGATCTGACTCCAGTGCAGCCTGGTTGTACTGCCAATTGTGTAAAACTCCTGTTTGTGACCTAAAGCTTCTCTCTCATCTTTCTTCTTTCACCCAGACTGCAGCAGGATCCCTCCCTCTTGCCTTCTGAAAGCTCCCCTGATGGCTCCCTTCCGGAGCGCCGCCATCACCCCCGTTTGCTGCCTACCTCCCCTCGCCACCCGGGCAGCCCAGAGGCCAGTGACTGTAGCACGGAGACTGAGCGCAGAGGAACGGGAGCCTCCACCCCGGACATCTCTGTCAGCAGTGACAGCGAGTTCGAGTCTTGAGATGGTGGACTCTTCATAGACAGACTCTTGTTCCCTGCAGAAATGAGAGCAACATCTGGCACCAGTCTCAGATGCATCTTAAAGACACGTGACCCGTCTGTGGACATAGTGGAGCTGTTCTCAGCAGGAGGAGGCCATTTGATGTGGCTCTGAGTGGACTCTCTAAGGGAATGCAAACACATTATGCACTTAAGAAAAGCACCATGGCACATGACTCTTACATGAATTAGTTTACTGCTGACTGTGACTCAGCGCTGTAGATAGGTAACTATCCAATGGATACTTCTCCATCAAACAAGTGGTTTCCAACTCTCAGGCAGTATTTATAGAATTAACACCAATAGTCTTTAGAAATGGTGATTTATTGGTACTTTAATATTTTGCATACATAATTTTGTTAGTTTTTATGTGCTGCATAATACATTTGTATGAAAACTACTCAGACAGGTGGTTATGTTTGCATGCACATAATTTTTTTATTATCAGATTACAACGAAACCCAGACAGTGGAAATGTTTAAGCAAACAGCTTTTACTTGGCTAATACATACACTTAAAAGGCATGAAAAGATGTGGAAAGCTGAAGCAAACTCATCAGAATGACAAGCAATAACCCCAAATGACTAAAAGTGAAATATCTGGTGACACTACTAAGACATTTCCTGTGGGCCACCACATGTTGTTCTGAGAATAAAGTTAATTGTGAAACAATCTTGTTAAGGTGGATACAGGGTTATACAAATACCTAAAACGGCTTCACTATATGTATACATACACTTAAAAGGCATGAAAAGATGTGGAAAGCTGAAGCAAACTCATCAGAATGACAAGCAATAACCCCAAATGACTAAAAGTGAAATATCTGGTGACACTACTAAGACATTTCCTGTGGGCCACCACATGTTGTTCTGAGAATAAAGTTAATTGTGAAACAATCTTGTTAAGGTGGATACAGGGTTATATAAATACCTAAAACGGCTTCACTATATGTTACTTTAATGAGGTTATTTGGAATAATTTGGTCAGAATGTGCATGCAAACATAGGGGATGACATTTCACTGCCTTAAAAGGAACAGAGGGCATCAATCTTTTTTTTACAATGCATTACATAATAACAGGTTTAGACAGATTTTACTTTATGTAATTAACAACCCACATGCTGCGTAAAATACAAATCATTTTTGCTACCAGCTGTGTTTTACCTGTCACTTCTCTTCAGTTGACCGGCTCTCTTTCAGCGCTCTGATTCCGATTCCTGCAGGAGCTGAAACAAGAGAAAGTAAAGCATTAAACTGGTCATATCTCAGCGAGCGTCTTGCATTTGAGTCGGTGAGACCTGGTCTGATACAGCTGTCCTCATGTCAGTGACACTCTCAAAGGCCTACTCTTTGTTTTTCTTACAGCTATTCTTCATAACACATTACTGTATTTTGAAAATGTTTTATGTAAATAAACGTACCTATTTTTTATCCAGAGTTACACTGTATTTATAAGTTCCACAAACTGAAGCCTGAAATCAAACAATTTATTGACAAGATTATGGTTTATTTATATAGTGAAGCAGAAAGATGGCTCTCTAAAAGTGGGCACATTTAAATAATACATGGACATTTTTGTTGCAAAATGAGCAGTCTAAAGAAATTTCAACTTTAAGAATGATTTGCAAATGTCACCTTTAAGAGCACACTACCTGTTTCCATCATAAAAACAAAAGTGCAGAGTGTCACTTCTGCTTGGCCACAGAAAATGGGCGTCCTCACATGCAATAATCCCGCCCATGCATGAAGGAGTAGCAAGAAGAATTCTGTTTGTCAGTTGTAGTCACTATTCAATTCATGTGTGATCATCTTGAATTGGTCATCTGTTAGCCAGACCCCTGTCCTGACAGGTGAGAGCACCTTGAATTGTTGACAGCCTTTCTGACATGGACAGCCAGGGGAGGAAAGTGGTGGTCTGTGACAATGGGACAGGGGTAAGATGAACAGTCCACACTAGTCTGACAGTTTTACCAGTATCAGTTATGTATTGTGTTTGTTTTCCAGTAGCATTTAAACTAAATTCTGTTGAATGTATACTGCTGTCCATATAAACCACATAATTGTTGAGTTTCTTATAATGCACACTGACAAAAGTGTGTTAAATATCAGTGTTTTACTTTTAAATGATTGTTCCAGGATTGCTTCAGTTAGGGACCAGGGTGTAAACCTGTGTACAGCCTGATTCCACATGTGTCTGGACTTGTTGTTTTGTGTCTTATGTGCACACACAGCCATATATGGTTGTGATGCTTTGAACTGAGCAACAATTGGATGAAAAGCAGGAAGAGGGGTCTGCGGTGCTACAACCTCATAGTGGTGCTGTAATGATGTACTGTAGCATTTAAATGTTGATACAGTATCTGAGACAAATATGAGCTGTGAATTGTGCCTGCGGTTAGAAACTGGCTGTAGCCTATTTAGCTCCTGCAAAGAATGTATTGCATGTTGTACCTTCAGGCTAAAGAATGTGTCTGTAGCCACAAAGACATGTTGAAACAGTACAGTACGAGGTGTAGTCATGACAGAGAGGCAGATAGTCTGCTGAGCTTTGTATACAATTTAAAGGCCGTGTTTATTATCCTGTGTCTAGCAAATAAATGATCACACACTTTAAAAATTGTAATTAAATTGCAGTTGCATTGCTTAATAAATAAGAGGCAATCTGGTAAATGTATCATAGTAATACACTGTAGGTGCATTTCCTGGGTGCAGATTAAGGGTAGACCTGGATTAAATTGAATGGAACTGATTTATTAATGGAAATGATCCATACAATAGACTTAGTGGGGTACGAGTTCAATTAATGTGCAGCACTGGTTCAGCACTATACAAACAAACTTTCAGTTTTCTTATTCACACATTAAATTATATTTTCACATCCTTTCTTAGTTTGTTAAGTGTGGTTTTGCTGGATCCAACTTCCCAGACCACATCTTCCCTGCGATGGTGGGTCGACCAATGATACGATCAAACAACAAAGTGGGCGACATCGAGATAAAGGTAAGGTTAGATTCACGTGAATATGGGCGCACCTGCTCATTGCCCTTTGTCTGAACCTGGTGAAGTCAGTCTGATGGCATCTGGCTTGTGATTCCACAGAAAAAACATGAAAATCCTTCACATTTATGTCTCATTTATTAAACTGTATTTAAGTTAAGAAAAGGAATGTTTTCAAACTCTTCTTCTTCATAAGAAAAACGCATTTCCAGTCCCAATTCTGCAATTATACCAAGATTAATCCACACACACCTTTACAGAAAGCTCAGCTCTTGTCCCTTTGCTCCTCCACAACGGCTGATTTGCTCCTGATGTCTTTACCCAGGACCTGATGGTGGGGGAAGAGGCCAGCGAGTGTCGCTCCATGCTGGAGGTGTCCTACCCCATGGAGAACGGCATTGTGCGCTGTTGGGAAGACATGCTGTACCTGTGGGACTACACCTTTGGCCCTAACCGTCTGAACATCAACCCATCAGACTGCAAGGTACAAAACAGCTTCTCCTAAATGTTGTATATGCCTGTTATATTTTGTTAAGTGCCCAAACTGAGTTAATTGTAATGTACAGTGCTTTCTGTTAATCTGCAAGAGCTGAAAAGAGAAAGTTTTTATATCATGCCTGGAAAAAGGCCACACACTCTACTTCTTTTTACATCTTCAAGATCTTGCTGACCGAGCCCCCCATGAACCCAACCAAGAACCGTGAGAAAATTGCAGAGGTCATGTTTGAGAAGTACCAGTTCTATGGCATCTATGTGGCGATTCAGGCTGTGCTCACTCTGTACGCTCAAGGTAAGACATCATCATCCAAACCTTTTGTAGTCTGGCTTCCAGGTAAACCTATATCATGTATGTTCTGTCATATTTGTACTGATTAATGGACAGATTCACTGAATATGGGAAATGCTTCATGAAATACTCTACTGGGAATTGATCTCATCTACAGGTTTGCTCACTGGTGTGGTCGTTGATTCGGGGGATGGCGTCACCCACATCTGTCCAGTGTATGAAGGCTTTTCTTTACCGCACCTCACTCGTAGGCTGGACATCGCAGGACGTGACATCACACGCTACCTCATTAAGGTTGAGTCAGTTTAGACCAATGGGACAAACAGAAAACGTAACAGTGTTGGTAAACATGCATATAAGAAAACTGAAACAAGTCCCCTTTTCTGTTCTCGCCATCAGCTCCTGCTGCTCCGCGGTTATGCCTTCAACCACACTGCTGACTTTGAAACCGTGCGTATGCTGAAGGAGAAGCTGTGCTATGTGGGATACAACATCGAGCAGGAGCAGCGCCTGGCCACAGAAACCACCTACCTGGTGGAATCATTTACGGTACAGTGGAGAACAGAATCTTGTTACATTAAGCACTTAAACGTTTCAAAATTCTGTATATTACACATGTAAACTGCCTGGACACTAAGTGAATTTTCTTTATTCTGTGTTCTTAACCTTTTTTGCTTGTGACTCCATAAAATAAAGCAAAGGTTAGTGCAAACATGAGCTTTTCCTTCTCAGAGATTAAAAACTCTGAGAGGATAGAAGAGCTAAATATCCAGTATATTTAATTTTAAACATAATTTTCTATAACAAAGCCTTGCTTTAGTCACCTTGTGAGCCTTCAGATGTGGGCAGGTTGAGAAACACTGTCCTAATGTATGTTCATAGTTAACCATTTGGTTAACTGGCCACACAGTTTGATGACAATGAAACATACATGACAAAGAGCGGTGCCTATTTAGGACCAAAAATGGCTCCAAAACCAACAGTGTTCCTTTCTCTGGTGCAGCTCCCTGATGGCCGACAGGTGAGTGTGGGTGGAGAGAGGTTCGGGGCTCCTGAAGCCCTCTTCCAGCCTCACCTTATCAACGTGGAGGGAGTAGGAGTGGCCGAGTTGCTGTTCAACACCATCCAGGCTGCAGACATTGACCTCAGGTCTGAGCCCCATTGCTGCTGTCTTTAATAGATCTATGTGACATAAAAGTAAAAGCAATACCTGGGGAAACACAGTGCTTCTTCCATTTAGAATGTGATTTTTCTTTGCAGGGCAGACTTCTATAAGCACATTGTGCTGTCTGGAGGGACCACCATGTACCCCGGCCTTCCATCCAGACTGGAGAGAGAGCTCAAGCAGCTGTATCTGGAGAGAGTGCTGAATGGAGACACTGACAAGCTATCAGTAAGAGCTTTAATATCCGTTTTAATGAGGCAGTGGGCATACAGTTGGAAACACAGCAGCACCAGGATGTTAAATAAGATGTTGCTCAGTGGTTGCTGCTTTATAATACTGTTGCATAAATGTCATAAACCATTAATCTAACAATGACATATCCTGTAGCATGAGGCATAATACAGCATCCATTAATATATGAATCCTTTTCTTTAATATCAAACCAGAAATTGAATTTCAGATGTTAGAATTATTATAGTTTTATAACTAGGAAAAAATGTATTTTCATTACTGTAAACCAATTTTGTTTATGTTTGTGGGTAACATAATTGAACACCATTTTCATTATCAGGATTACTGCGATGGTTTATATTTCAAAACAATCTGTAGCCGTAACACAGAGGAACACAGAAACACATTAGGGCACAGTTAATCCACAAACCCTCAGTGAAATTCATGTACACACACATAAAAGAGGGAATATTGTGCATGTACAACTAGAGCACTGTGCCTTAGTGACTTCCCCCCTCTTTACTCTTCACCTATGTAGAAGTTCAAGATCCGAATTGAGGACCCTCCCAGCCGTAAACACATGGTGTTCCAGGGTGGCGCCGTGTTGGCCAACATCATGAAGGACAAGGACTCCTTCTGGCTGAGCAGGGCGGAGTACCAGGAGAAAGGCCTGAGTGTGCTGCAAAAACTGGGAGGGGGAGTCAGATAAAAATAACAACAAATAAAAACAACATCCCCCAAATAGTTGAAATATTTGCATACCGTGCACTCCTCCTCGACTGCTCAACCAGCTGATAGAAGCTTTGATAATCAATGAATCATTGATCCAGCAAACATGCACGTGGCTCCAGCTTGTCACATGTAAGGGTTTGCTGCTTCTGTGTGTTTTATAACATAGTAAACTGAACATCTTTGGACTATTGTGGATTCAGAGAAACTGTAGAACTGGTATTTTCCCACTTCCATATTCTGACCTTATACAGACTAAATGACTTGATTGCACAAGAAGCAGATACCTGCGACTTACAGACTGAGACATTTGACACATATAATTGGTTAAATTGGGTCTCAGTTCAATCTCAGGCAAAGCTCACATGACTGAGCAGTGACAAGACGTGAATAAAATGTTCCATAAATATCCAGTGAGAGTGAAAATAATTTGTTACCGTCAGTCACTGAGGCAGGAATTTAAGACCAAATCTAACCCCTTATTGTGGCTTGGACAATACAATTAAATACATTTGATCATACATGAAAAATAGTTTGTCTTTTATGTGTTAATAGCTGAAATAAAAACCAGTGTCCACACATCTGAAATAAATAACACAACTGAAGGATGTAGTGGCAGAGTGGCAAACAGTAAAGAGTGAAACGGTGGTTTTAGTATTTGCTGCCCTCTGCTGGTTGAGTTAGGTTAAAACATCTGACAACATTCACAATCCCACTACAGAAACTAGATGCAACAACATAGTGAACAGATATTGCAATTTTTTATTGCGATACTTGAGTTACCTGACAAAATTTACACTGAAAAGAAAACGGGGAGCTCTCATAATACACACGCGCGCACGCAACACACACACACACACGCACACAGACCACATTCGCAGAACCGTCACGTTAAATGAAAAAGCATGCAATAACGTTCAAAGCACATCATAGTTCTCAAAATGAACCTCCTTAGCTGATTAAAAAGTCCAGATATGTTGAAAATCCATAGGTTTGATATCTACCCAACAAATTGAACAATTAAAAGTTAGCTTTAAATACACAACATGATCATTGATAATGACACTGAGTTGAACAGTCAGTTGATTGTGATGACTTGCAGCAGCCACCAGAAGCTGGTGTCATTTACATTCTACCAGTCACTGTGAGGACCTGGTTTACTGGTCAGATTGTCCTCCCGGTCCAGGTTGGAACGCAGTGTGATTTTACAGTACAGCCAAGAAAAACAGTGGAATTCAAAAGCAGAGGATCGAAACATGAAATGAATGAAGTTCTGAAAGGATTCAACTCTGACACAGAAAAAAAATATATTAATACATTCGCAAGTCATTCAGTGAATCTGTTACAGGTTGCCTCAGTGTGTCAAGGTGATTTTTTTTTTCTTTCTCACATGGTTTAAAAACTGAGCTCATGCTTTTCTATCACTTCCCTCCTACACACCCATTACTTCACCTGCCAAAACCACTTAATAGAATACACAACCAAGGAGGAGAATGTGCTTTTTCTCAAAAAGTATAAATAAAATGGTCTCTGTGGGTGGTTCTAAAAATAAAACAGCTGATTTAAAGCATCCTTGTAAGCTTGTAAACCTGATTTCTTTCCAAGTCAACACCTGCTGTATCACAAAATGGCCCCTTATTATCTGTTCTTTTTTTTTTTTAACTTTGGTATTGTGGTTTGGTCTTGGGTATATAACACATCTCACCTTTCTGCCAAACTATATTCCAGGAGGCGCATAAAGGTTTGTGTCCACAAACCCTGTGACAACATGGTTCCATCCAAAGATTTGCAGACTTTTATACATAAAACTGAAGTAATAAAACAAGTGTCTTTTAGATTTTGCCCAGAACTATACTACCATGAAAGGGTTACATCACCACAGGGGACAATTTGCCTTCTTGTGTGTCTACAGGAAGTGATTTTGTTTCCAGGCAACAGAAATCTCCCAGAATCTGTCTTTGGATTTGAGTCTGCTCATGGTTCAGTGATGTAATCACCTTCATGGTATATCTCTAGGTTTATGTTTCAAATGACAACCAAATCCATTTATTAAAGATTTTTCCATGTCACAAACAGTACACTCCTTTACAATAGCAGCCACACTGAGTGGTACATAGTACAACTTTTGGCAACAGTACCTAAGTTGGTCCTGCTCTGCTCTGCTCTGCGTGTTGGTCCATTTAGGGAAGAGTTTACCATTTAAGGTCTGCAGTTTTTCACAACAAGTCCTGACCGACAACGAGACACAACACACCGCTGGAGAGAAAGAGACAGAGCAAGAGAGAGAAAGAGACTGAAAGCACAAGTGCCCATCCATCTCCTCCTCCTCCTCCCTCCTTCCTCCATCCCTCCCACTCACTCCTCACACACTGACTCGCTCAGGTCTACGGCGCCACCTCTGGTAAGCCGTCGCATCTTGCTGAAGTCGTGGTCGGTCCTCAGGTAGGAGAGTGAGGGGCCTCCCTCGCTGTGACTGGCCAGGTCCTGGGGCTGGGCCTGAGGCGGCAAGGCCCTCATCTCACCACCGCTGCGCCAGTACAGGGTGTATTGCTGCGGGTCGGACACTCCAAAGGTGGCGGCACACAGCTGCGCCAGGGCCTGGCTGCTCTCCCCGGCTCTCCACTGTAACGTCCGCACGGCACTCCGCTCCCCGTCCTGGAACAGTATCCGAACGCACCTCTGGAGGGAGGCAGGGAGGGGGGTGGGGGGAGCAATAGTGGAGAAACAAAGAGTGAATATATACAGGCTTCGTGCAAAACAGAGGTCAAGTAGCTTATGGAGTGAGGGCAAAGGAGGAGGAGGAGGAGAGAGAGAGATGGAGCCAGAGGAGGAGTGAGAGCTGTGCAGCCATACAGGTTGATAATCCACTAAAATAAATGAGCCAAAATTGTAATTGTAAAAGAAATCCTCTCTCAAACAAAGCCTCCACTTCCCACACACCCAACCAGCAGGTACTTTATATGAAAATCATCTTCATAAAATTGTTCTTTTCTCTGCTGCATGTTAAAGCTTCAGTGACAAACTCCCAGTATTAATCCACTGGAGCACATCCACGTCCAATCTCATCAAATATAATCCATTAATCTCGCTCTATCTCTGCGTTCTGGTGAAGTTTTCCCTCTGCACAGAAACTTTTAAAAACATTTTCAACAGAACAACAAAAAAAAAAAGCAACCAATCTCAACAACTCATACTCTTCAAGCACTTACCAGCAACTGTGCTGCACCTAAGCTATTATATAATGTCAGATTCAACCACCTACAGACGCCCTCACAACTCTCTTTAACACACACACACACACACACACACACACGATGAAAACATACCAAACATAAACCCTTTACCAAACATCCAACCTTGAGAAACCAGTGAGAAGCCTCTTCTCTGCCTCACACAAACACACACCACATGTCCTACCTTGCACACACAACTGCCTCCCACACACACACACACACACACACACACACACACACACACACTACACAAAGTGCCAAATATGAAAAAAGGAAAAACACACCAGTAATTATAATCAACAAGTCTGCCATGGCCAGAACTTACAGAGTCACTGAGCTCCTCGCTGTCCGTGTGCATATTGTGTTTGCCTGCTTCGATGGGTAGATGCAGCTCAATAAATTTCATGTTATCTGACCGCCCACTTCTTCATAGCACTTGGCTCACTGATCCCCGCCTGTGTCAGAGGAAAATCTGGCTGCCGGGTGAGTTAGATCGGCTATTTGAAGCCAGGCGAGGCACCACGTGACGAGACAGAAACGTTGTGGATGACAGTGCCTTTTCTCCATGGCACCTGGTGGACCATTATAACAATCCGGGGCCCAGAGAGTATTAATGGGAGAGTGTGGGTAAAAGAAAAAAAATCTGTGTGTGTGTGTGTGCGCATTAGTAAGTGCCCCATTGTAAGCCGGCGGCCCCAGATCAGCGGATTACTTCTAAAAAAAACGCCTAAAAACTAATCCCCTCAAATGAGTTTGAAAAGTGTTCACACGCAAAGAAAGAAAATCTAGGTGTGTTGTCTGATGAATGTCTGACGTCTGCTGGACTTAGAATTTAGCATCTCCTGTTTGACCTTTGAAAATCTGAGTACTGTCTGTCAACTTCCAAAGCAGCAAGAGTTAAAACCTGAGTTCACCCTTGAATCAAATGTGAGTCATTGTAGCTTGTTTTTAACCTGCCATTGTCACAGATGTAGGACAATCTGATGTTGCCCAGTGTGCAACGCCATCAGTATAATTAATAGAATGTTTGACCTCTTTGGATGGATGATCACCTTGTTTTTGAATACATTTGAACTGTAGAAGGTGCCGATCATTTTCAAGTATCTGAAACTACTATATAAACTAGAGCCTCTCATTATTAACTAAAACTACAAGTTCTGGTCAGATAACTTCACGCTACAGATTTAAATCCTGGAAATTATATGCTGACTTTTCACAACCTTGTAGGTCATCATCACACCTACGTCACAGATACGATCGACATTGACACAGTGTAGCGTCTTCCTAGATTAAGTTTAACTTAAAAGCTACAGTATACAACTTTTTCCCAAATATGTTTGTTCTAGAAATCTGCTTCAAAACCTGTCTTAATGTGGAGGGGTGCCTCTCGAAGTCTCCTGTGACTAGTAGATACTACTACTACTACACTATGCCATTCACGGGGCCCAGCAGAATTATTTCGCTGCATAATAAGCAGGTGTTCCTATCGTCCACACATCAATATACACTTCACACATGGGCATCTATGTGTGACAGCTATAAAGTAGATTACTATACAAACCCACGCATAATGCTACCAGTATTTCCGTGGTGTACTACTACAGTTAAAGCATCTACCTGTTTCTGCTGCTTCTCCTTTTGTCTGTGGGCTTCTCGGCTCCGTCTGCAGCTCCACTCCTTCAGCGCTTCCTGGGCCTCGGGTAGCAGGCAGCTGGAGAACGGCTGCTCCCGGTCCAGGCTCTGGATCAGACACAGACTGGCATAGACACTGGTCAGGTAGTACCCACCTGGACGCAAAACAAAAAGAGGAGCGAGCCTGAGAAGGAGAAGCAGTGGGAAAACTGGACGAAACCTGATACAAATAACAGTCCCAAGTAAGAATACAACACATTGATGAGTAAGATGAAGTACTACATGCAGCAGGTAGAACAAGTAATATATTTTAATAAATGAATTGGGTATTAGTTCAATTTTTAAAAAAAAAGGTGATTAAAGTAATTAAAAGTTGATACTTAAAATGTGTAACTGACAGCTACACATTAAAACTGATTCAAAAATGAAGCAAAAAACAAAAAAAAAGTTTTATTTATAGAAAATCTAACAGGAAAAAATTACTCATGTCATGACTCACGTCACTTGTGTGTTTACCGATCGGCTTATGGGGGTTTATCCTGTTTTTGTACAGTAAATAAAGGAGGTCACATCAGCTTGTGTGAAAACCTTATGATTTGATGAACAATTAAAAGACAAAAAAAAAAAAAAAAGAGCATGGCTGATTCACTGGGCTCCAAGTGGTGAGTTTAGGTTGTACCCTCTCCTCCAAGCCAGGAGGGCTCCAGCAGCTCCATCATGTACTCCACCTCTAACAGGATGTGAGGCCTGTTACACTCCACAATTACATAAGACAGTGACGGCAGGAAGTCGTCCCAGCTCACGTCCTGTCCTGCAAAGCAAATGACAGTAACACAGTGTAAGTAAAGGTAGGGTGTCATTTTAGTCTTTTTAATACTCTGTGTTGACAATTTTGAATTGCAATACTAACATATTGTGGTGAAATTTAGATCTTTGTCTTCTTACTGATAAGGAGTTTGCCTTTTGGAACCAATTTGGGCCAAATATTTAACTGAACTTTTATGTTTTCCAATGGGGAAAAATACCAAATGCACTTTCCAGACATTCAATTTACTAAACAAGAATAAGCCACTATAGTTAATGGTCACTATGCACCATCACAAACTTTATGCCAAATATGTGACCGCAGTGACATGATGCTTCCTGCAGCAGCAGGTCGTGACAGGTTGTGATACAAATCACACAGGCAGAGCATGTCTGAAGTATGGAGCTGTTGAAAGTGACAAGACACTCACCACTGCAAAGAATGACTTTTTTTAGCTTTTACAGAAAAGCTGTCATGCAGCAGTTACAGTAGAGCCTTCAAATTCCCCAAAATAAAAATGTATTTGGTCTCACCATGCAAGGACCCCATGGCCTTGAGGACACACTTGCACACTTGCAGCAGCAGCAGCACCTTGTCGATAGGCGAGTGCGTCCTCTGCATCAAGACCAGCTTCTGCTTCACCCTCTCCACCTCGCGACTGTCCGGGACACCTGTCCGCACGCCGAGCCTCTCCATGGTGGCGTCCCCTTTCAGACGGAGCAGGTTCTGGGTGAGACGCTGGCTGGAGCCGTCCTGACTGTGCAGCGCCACCAGGGCTTTCTCAAGGTGTGACCTCAGGGGCCTGAGCACACAGGAGAACATGGCCCGCTCCAGCGCCAGATCTGAGGACAGACAGAGGGGGTTCATGTTTTGGGAGGCTGAACATTTTTCATGCAGCTGAGACATTTGTACTACATTTATTTTATTTCCTTATTTTAATCACGATACAAGCTGCTAAAGGCAGTTTATTTCTTAAACATATACCAAAGGACGTGCTGTTCTCAAAGCCAAAAAGAGGCAGCAGCACTTTTCACACTTGTGTAGTCAGGTCTTTAGCAAACACTGTGTATATATGTTACCTGTGATTTTCACAGTTAACAGGACTCTGAGTATCCACAGTAGGCAAAAGCAAAACTTCCTGATCCACCACTGCTTCACTGTAGGGAATCACTTTGGAGCCTTCAGGTGAATTTCACCCTCATTCACCTCTTCCTTTTTTGCCTCTTTACAGTAGTATGCCTCCAGCTGTGGCTATCGATGGAGCAAAGGCATAAAAAAAGGAGTGCTTGGGCCTTCACAGTTTGTTTGTATGTAGAATAGAAATAATGAGATAAAGCATTAGAATTGCTGGTCAAGGTGTGTTTTTGAACACCGAACAGAGCCAAGCTAACACTTTCCCCTTGGTTCCAGCCTTAATGTGCTAAATGAAGCTAATCACCCCCTAGCTCTTGCACAATACACACAGATGAGAGCAGCACTGATCATGTCATGTACCAGAGCCAAATTCCACGCGTGGCCAATAAAGCTGATTCATTCTCAGAAAGAATGTGTATAAGAGTATTTGCCAAAATGTCAAACTACCTTTAAAGCCCCTTCACATAATGTCAAAAATCATCTGTCATTTAAACAACACTATTTTCCCTGAAAACACAAGAAATCTGAAGATACAGTTTTTTTTGGTCTGATAACAGCAATATGTAACACACAAACCCGTGTACATGGACAGTACACATGCATGCATGCCCTCACATGTGAACACACACACACACACACACACACTCAGTGATTGTCCTGTAGGCAGTCCTGACTAAATGGGTAACAATCCTCCAGCGTGCTTGGTTTTCCACTCATCATCAATATCCTCCTCTCCCTCCGTCATGTCTCCCTCCTGCCATCTACCTTACTATATCATTCCCCCTTGTGATTAATCATTCACGCTTTCCACCCTCTGTCTCTCCAACTCCCTCTCTGCTCAATCCCAGCATCCCTCTCTCTTTTCCCAGCTCTGGAGAGTAACAGATTACATGTAATATGTTTAAAGCCTTATTAGTTACTGGCTAGTTCTGACTTTGAAAGATAATACGCATACATCTACCTGATTACATTTTCAGAGTAACCTGCCTATTTCTCCCTCTCCCTCCCACCCTCCCCTGAATCGTGCTGCTCTTCAAGTGAGCGTGGGACTGCGATATCTTTTTATGATAAAGGAGGGGGAGAAAAAAAAATGCAAATGCCTCCCACCGACGCAATGTGAGATAAATCAGAACCAGAGAGCAGGAAGGAAGGAAGGGAGGAAGGAAGGCAGCGGCCGATCGCTCTCTCCCCTGAAGCCTGTGCACTGCCAGGCAACCATCCATCATCACACGCTTACTCACAAACACACCTGTGAGCACACACACAAAGGAGTCCAAAAAAGAAAAAAGCCTACGCACAGAACTGTGTCAAAAGATCTGACTACAATGCTTCCAAAGTAGCACCCAGTGATGTCTTTACAGTAATGAGAAGAATCGCATTTTGAATGCGACGGATGGGAGATGCAGGCGCATTGGGCAGGGCTTTCCTAATGCTGTTTTCTAAATACCAGAAACAATATGAGCTCTAGTGAATGAGGCCCCCCACGCAAACTGATTTGTGTTGACAGTGTCTTTCACTGGAGCCTGGGCAGCCCACCATTTATCAGAAAAGGCTGTCTGTTTCCATAGACCTTCGTCCTCTGGCACTCTGTCTATTGAATCAGTGTTTTCTAATAGTGCAGTTTTATCTCGCTCTTCCCCAGTCCCCTGCTGCACTCACAGATTCCTTGTTTTGATGTGATAAACTAATAATGCATGGCCTATAAGAAATTCATGAGGTTGAGAGGATTGAGCTCAGAATGTAATTCAGCACAGTCAGCAAAATTCAGTTAAATTACTCACTCTGCGACTAACTCACCTTGAATTTCTGTGCAGAAAAAAATAAGAATTTTAACTTAGTAAAACAGCTATTGCTTATATTCCACAATAGAAATATGGTAAATTGACTTACACTTGTATAGCACTTTTCTATGCCTTTAAGCACACTCAAAGCGCTTTTACACTTTTAACCCATCCACCCATAAACACTCACCCATTCACACATCACTGGGAGCACTTTGGGGTTCAGCATCTGTCAAGGACACTGACATGCGGACTGGAGAACCTGGGAATCGAACCATAACATTATGACCACTGACAGGTGAATAACACTGATTATCTCGATACAGTGGCACCTGTCAGTGTGTGGAGTATTAGGCAGCGAGGGAACATTTAGTCCTCGAAATTGTGTTGGAAGCAAGTAAAACAGTCAAGCATAAAGATCCGAGTGACTTCACCAAGGGCAAAACTGTGATGGCCGACAACTGGGTCAGAGCATCGTCCAAGCTGCAAGTCTCGTTGGGTGTTCTAGTCTACAGTGGTCAGTACCTATCAACAGTGATCTAAGGAAGAACAGTGAAGCAGTATCAGGTCATGGACGCGCAAGGCTGCAGACTGGTCAGAGTGCCCAAGCTGACCGCTGTCACCTCTGAAAATGCCTACAATGGGCACGCGAGCATCAGAACTGGGCTATGGAGCAATGGAAGAAGGTGTCCTGGTCTGATAAATCACTTTTTCCCAACA